GTCTGAATGAAGTTATCGTTATAATAAAAGGAATTAAGATGGAGTGTATGAGAAATCTGCATACAACATGCCAAAAAGAAAATACCCAATAGACTCCCACTTTCATAAGGAAGTTCAATTCGAGTTTAATCAGTCAGATAAGAGACTGGCAGAAGGCTAGGACGCTTGAAACCAGCTGTTATCTATTCCTATTTAAAATTTTAAAATTTAAAATAAACATTTTGTTGATTTCTGACTGAACAGGTAATGAAAAAAATTTCTAACAATTAAAAATTTGATCAAAGAGTATTGGAATAATCCTGCTTAACAAATCACTGCACTTTGAAAATGTCCAAAAAAGTTTAGTTAGGGTATCGCATCCACAAAATTAGTTGGAGAGAAATGCGATAGTTGGGTAATAGAAAAATGGCTGACAGAAATCCTTTCAGAAATAAGCTAACGTTCACTTGTGAGTGTTAAGACTTTTGAAAGAGTCCATACTGCTGGGTCAAAAGTTTATAACTTTATTGTTTGCCCACGATTCACTCGTGCATCCAATTCACGTTATGTCTAGATCACTCTGTCATGTCTTCTTTATGTTCAGCAACATTCATGTTACAGAACAATTGTTGATATTATTCTTCCGTTGAGTTCCTATTGGGTAATAAAGCTCCATTGCACCACACTGTGAGCTACGATATTAAATTGGCTACATAACTACCCATAAAACTTTGATTTCCTTTACATATGATAATATATACGCCAACTTGGAAACTAAGCCCAACTTTTCACTTGCTATCTGAGTTCTGTTCCACACCCCAGCGTGTGATGTCAATTAATGGTCTCCTCAACATGTGTCTAGTCCATCACCATTCCCTTCTTTATACATGTTGAACTATTGATTGTTGACTGTTTCGCAGCTAAATTTTCTTATTGTTTGTGTATCCTTCCTGGTCGAGCATCTGACCATCATTGATGTAAGTTTGAAGTAGGCTACTGGAAACCTGTTTTTGTAACTCACCGACCAAGTCTCTAAAACATATGGGAGCGCAGGCCTGACATTAGTGATAAAAATTTGAATTCTCTTCCTTTTGCTAAGTGCTTTGTACCTTCGCATTAATTTCAGATTAACAAACTCTTTTGTCTGTCTGCCTATCCGAGCTTGACTGGCTTTGATATCTTCATATCTACCGCCTGTAGTTGAAACGATAGTAACGATGACAGAAAAGTTAGAGGGATTACTTCTTTATATGTCTCAGTCTAATGATGATTGGTTGTTGTCAGTTTGAAGTCCTGATACCAACCTATTTGGTTTTCGCTCACAAATCTTTGAACCTGTTAGACATCAAAATAAACCATCTGTGAAATGCAGATCTTCTGTAGCCTTTTCGTGGTTTCAACGTGCACTGATCTACTCTGTCCCTGCAGGCTGTGACACGTTCCAGTTCACGATGGTCAAGAAAGTGGTTGGTGAGAACAGGAAGACTATTATTACTCTTATTTTCATTTCAAAGGCTTCACTGAGTTTTCCGTTATGAATGGAGCTGCTGAATGAGGTTTATAAATGTTTCCGCTGATAAAAATGATGTGTTTTCTGTTAGTTTCTTGATTCACATGATCTAAATGTCGGCGAGTGCGTTGGTGGTTCAGCTGCAGAACGTTTGTCAACCATGCATGTTGTCCTGAATTCGATCCCCGGCAGGCGCACTCTTAAACCTAGCTAGGCCGGTAATAAGACCGTTTAGGTGGCTAGTTTGAGGGTGAGGCTAGCAACCCCACCTCATAAAAATGAAACCTTGGCTTCGAAAACTATAAAGCCCTAGCTCGAAGCCCTGTGTTCCGCTCAGAATGTAAATGAATAAGATAAAAGTCATAAATAAATTTTGGTGCACCTATTAAATAAATATTAAGTACGTGATAATAAGCTGGACACTAAATAACTAGTTTCAATCTAGCAGTGAAATCTGTCGACAGAAGGATAGAGTAGCCACCCACCATGATTATTTGTTTGTATTATTCCCCATATATTTATTATATCTACATCAATTTGATCACTGTTCTGTTACAGAAAATCAGACGGTTCGATCAAGATTATCTAACATAATTTAATAAAACACATACATTTACTTAACTTATATCAACATTCTGTTTAGACAAACTATCAAAATCTCTTTCTAACTGTTTTTACTAATTTTTAAATTATAATAACTTCGTAAATCGGACCATTGTGTTTCCATCTGTACAGAAGCTTTACAAATAGGTTGAAAAACTTATACTTGTAGATATTATACCTGTAATGAATATGGTGCATAAATAGCATCGCATATGAGCTAGGCATTAAAGTGTCTAAAACAGGAATTTAGTTAACTCTTAAATCTTCAAGTGACTTTTGGAATGCAAGAGTAGAATTTAAGTATTATTACAAAGCATATATATATCAGATAAGTTCATCTGATATAGTGCGCAGTAATACAACAGTAATAAATGGATGACATTTCAAGCACAATTAGTTGCTCACAGATGAGATGGTAGCGCAGCTTACTAACTTTCCAGGTATAGTTTTGATCCCTTCAACTTTCATGAAGTGCAACTTTCTGTGTCTAGGAATGATTTGGCTTCATTCTCATTCTATGTGTTCAGTGTTGATTCAATGGATAACCAACCCCTTCACTTAACAATATAATGCCTTTTAAGACAGCTGCATTATTGTTTAACGATGCATACATAGCAAAGGATGAATTTTATTCTAGATAACTGATCTTAGAGGCGTCTCTGATTCCATATTTAACCAAAATCCTCTGTATCGAGGACATAGTTGAATTCTGTTGACTGGTGTGACTTCTACATTCAACCTTGCATCCATTACATGGTATTTTGCCTAATTTGGTTAACTGGATTTCTCGGTCGACAGAATGCGTCTCTGATTGAAGTCGTATGTTCCATTTTTATACTGCAGTACTATCGAGACACTGAATTCTTTGGTATTCATGTTTCACCAATACTTACTTAGGCACTTCTAGTTTTCTTACTAGTCCTTATAAACTTTTTGAATGAATTATAACAGGTAGGAATTAAGTAAGTAATATTTCCTTTATCCGTCTCATTTCTTTACTTAAACCTTCTGACTCCTCCGTTACCTAAACATTTAACACAGACTGTGTTTACCATAGAATAACTGGATATTTATTTAGATGAAGAGCAATACAAAATAATAGAGAGAAGACCAGTAGTTCAGCAAAGAGTCTCTTTCCGACGAATTAATTCTCACAGCTCTACAATCTCAGATATGTATATGGTTATCTTGTGTGTGTTTGTACATTAAATTTGTCAAGTGAAAATACAATTGGTAAGTTTTGATGGAGTTACATCATACGAAAAGCGTTCACAGGAATTGGATGTTCATACAAGACGGTGGTAACAAAGTCATGAGTTGCCACAAACGATTGTTAAAGAGGATTTAGATTTTTTAGATTTTATTTTTAGATTTTTAGATTTACAGCTTGATTCCACACTGTATTTTTGGTACAAGTATGGAATTTTCAGCATGGATATAGGTTGCCCAAATTTCGCAGGCCGACCATAGATGAAAGAGTTGTGCTCAGGGTGCACAAGGAAATAAAATAAAATACGGAATTGCATAAAAGTTTTAAAAGAATACAGGAGTTTTCGATTTAGTTGTGTTCCCTGAGCTGGGCTACATCCTCAGCTTTTAGATCTCCCCACGAATTTATTTGTCATCTCTCCTGGTGGCCTTGAACGCGATTGTTTGTTTTTATGTGTTTTCACACCATCTAAGCTATTTGTATTGGAACTGATTGCTCCCTTGACTTGAACTTTGACCCTTTGTGTGCGAGGTTTCCTTATTATCGATTGGTAAATTTGATCTGTCTTGATCTGTCTACTGACTGACGATTCACTGAAATGTCAGGCTTCTAAAAATTCGCTAGCATTCTTGGTGTTTCCTCTGTCTAATATTTGAACACTGGTTGTCTCAGTCAAATTGATTTCCGCTGTTGTCTGCATGCAGTGAAGCGATATGAGGGAATGGATGTCATGTCTTTTGACGGCTAGTTTATGTCTATGGATACGAAGACGAAGGGGACCTCCACTTTGGCTAATACAAAAACCAAAGCGTTGTCCACTTGACCAATTGGGATACTAGAATCATCCCTTGACAAAATACGCATCCTGAATTTCAATGTTAGTCACCATCCCTTTACATAATTCAAGTTAACACTCATATTTTGTTGAAACGTCCTCACTAGGAGCTGACAAGTCAACAGAAGCTGGACATTTCCATCCAATCAATCAGCGAGAAAATCGAATTGAATTTAAAATGTTCTCTTCTTTTCTCTACCTCGGTGTACTACACGGGATGTGACAACTTGAACTGTTGCAATTCTGTGCAAACTTCTACATTGAAACTTAGTCAGCTAACAATGCGTGCCTACATCTGTACATTTCATGTTTTTTTAGCATTGAAGTCAATTATTTTGAGTAGAAGGTTGGCTGTGAGTTATCTCATAGTACGACACTCAGTGAATATAGTTCACTGGACAAATAATACGTTAAAAATTTGAAAATATACGGCTCTCATTTTTAACAATCAGTGTAGTAGATGCATCTTATATTAAACCATTAAATTATCCTAATATATTTTGAAATCTGCTCACACATCAATTTTTCTTATGGTCATTCCTTTCTAAGGCTAACCAGTTAACTCACATAACTGTCGCTGAGGGAAATACAACTCTCAAATCGTCGTAATTCCAGCCGTTAACAGTGTCTCATTGTGTGTTACATTAAATTAAAATTATCTCATATGGAGTTCCACCATAATGCCCAGATTCTACTCCTGTTTTTAGGAGGTTAAAGACGTATTTTATCCGGACAGACGTTTCATTAGAGAGTCGAATACACTATCCAGCTGTTTAAATCTATGTGACTCGGATTATGTATAAACTCATATATGTATATATGTAACAGATTAATTTTACGAATTATTTGTATTTATTTCATAGTCTTGCAGGTATTACACCGTTTGAAATTCCACAAGAAGGATGCCGTGATCGGACTTTAACCAATCAAGAGATATCTTTAAATATTACACATTGCAGATACGATTTCGATGATCCTGGTATAGTTGACGTTTCAAAGGAAGCTAAAGATTTTATCAAACAGATATTAGTTCGTGATCCTAAGTGAGTAATGCTCAGTACTATTCATTTATTTAACTTTTAAATAACACCAGTAGTGTGATTATATTTCAAGTTTTTACTAGGTTTGATTACTTGGGTATGATCAGTGTCATCATAAATTATGTCAGTCAGAGAATCATTACAAATGTCTGCGTGATATGTCCAATAAACAAATTATTATGGTGAAAATGTAAACTTCGATAAAGAAAGGAAGACGAAATTTGCAGTATAAAATGACATCATTCTATTCTATATTGGAATAGAATGATATCATTTTATACTGCAAATTTTGTCTTTCTTTCTTTATCGAAAATGTAAAACTTTAACCAGACACTAAACGTTTGTCTGAAATATTTTACTTAACCAGTCTACGAAGAATGAAATTCTGGTGATTCACAAAAACTCACTGTTTATTGACACTAGCATCACTCGATCTCGTGCTTCTCATACCTAATTTATTGATTTCCAATTGTTGTTTAACAGTGATTCGACCGATTTTAAATGTGATCAGAAACTGACGCCAGTTAGATAACTGTTGGAAGCTATGAAGAACGACACAACTCTTTCATCCTATTGTGGGGACAATTCAGGAGTAATTGTCTGCTGTTATCACGGAAATCGAACCCAGGACCCTCAAGTTACGAGGCGTTACCGTTGGCCGGTAATTTAGAAACTAAGATGAAATCTAGTGGCCCATGGATTCTAACCCCTGTCAATTTGTGATATGTAGCGTGACCGCTAAGTAATGTCATCGGCGACCTATTGAGTAGTTTCTTCTTCATCTTCATTACTTTTCTTCAGTTTTTTGTTAGATTCAATGAACTATCTTGCGAACTTTAAAAGGATAAACTCATCAATGAGAGGAATTCTAGTGTAAATCAGCGTTTTATTTAGTGGCTGACGGCAGTGTACACCAATGAATGAAGTGCAACCAATCTATAACGTAAAAATTTAATTGCATGTCATCATATTTGATTATTCAGGAAGAAAGATGAAAAACTATGCAGTAGCCAGTTTCATTGATTTATCCTTCTTGTAGTCAATATGTTAAGTTCTCTTGAACAATCAACAGTCTATGAAATTTAAGTGTATGTTTCAGCTTTACAGTTCTTTTTTACACAGAGATTTCTAAGTTTACCGATATTCCGTGTGTTCTTTAATCATAAATAAATCCTGGACTTCGCCGATGATATATGTCTGATTTCCCAGAAACTGGAAGATATGCAAGTGAAAATCAACAAGTTGGTAGAAGAAGGATCCAGAGAAGATAGACCTTCAGGTGAACATAGAGAAGACATAGAGATTCCTGGCCAACACCAATAGCAACAACAACAAACAACAATCAGCATAAATGGGAGGAACCTGAAAGAAACAACCTCCTTCGCCTACCGACATGGGAAGCATCGGTTCAACTACAGGTGGACGGAGCTGACGAGGATATCAAAGCCAGAATCAGAAAAGCAAGGCAAGCTTTCATTACTCTCAAGTCTGTGTGGAGGTCAAAAGCACTCTTCAGCATCAAAAATAACATCCGGATTTTCAACTTCAATGTGAATTCAGTCAGTGCTAGTATACGGATCAGAGACTTGAACAGCCTGTTAAGAAAGGCACTTCGAACAAACTACACACCTTCATCAACAGCTATCTTCACTCAATACTACTCAAGATCAAATGGCCGGCCATAAAAGATCAGCAACACGGATCTCTGGCAATAAGAGAACCAACCAAGACCAATTGTGCAACAAATATGCAGGAGGAAAGGGAGATGGATTGGCCATACTCTGAGAAAACCATAAGGTGATATCACACGACAGGTTCTGTCTCGGATGGAAGCCGAATGGGAAGCAGTGAACCGGTCGCCAGTGCGAGGGTGACATGGAGGAGGTCATGTGGGGAGAAGATGAAAGCATGTGTGCAGACGTGGAGCCAGGTGAAAACGTTGGCAGAGAACTAAACGCAATGGAGACGTGTGGGTCAAACCTTATGTGCCTCTAGGAACTAAAGGAAACAATAATAATAATAAATCATTACACACTGTAACTGTTATTCTTTAACAAGTCACATTATTGAGATATCAAAATTCTTTTCATCTCATATTACAAATTTGGTTTCATCTCTTTGGGTTCTAATTGGATGATAGCACTTCAAGCTTTAGCTTTGAATTTTCAGTAGTGGTGATGTTCTTTTTATATAAAGCAGGGTTACTAACCCCACGTCCAGCCTTCTCTTTTTACAGTGCTGACTACCAGCTAAGCGAAGTTTATAAGTGCATTAGACGGAAGTCTAACCTAGACTACAGGTATGGTTTGTAAGCATTCTACCAGGAAACCACAGATGCATTTCTATTACGGATATCTAAAGCGATATATTTGCACTTCACTGGCTCAATAGTAAAATGGTCGCTAGATAGGCATGTGATTCAGGTTCGATTACCGACAAAATCTGACGCTAAGCCTTGCCTTGCTTATGAGCCAATGAAAAATCTGGAAACGGAGAATTTCGGAAATGAGATTAACAATCCTACCCCATAAAAACAGCACAAACGATACTGGAGCTTCAAAGCCTGATGGACTATATTCCACTTGAAACGTGATGGGAATGCAGAAAATTATCGGTAACATGATTTCATTAATGTTTACCCATTTGAGCAATACAAGCAAATACCGGTTCCTGAAGTGTTAGCTAACCACTGAATAGACGCAGGACGAAGATCTTTCAAGGTAATATTCTGACAGCTAGGGGACTATCGCAGTGAAAATGTATGATACACTGACTACTGAACACAGAGAATCATTGTATATTTGTATAACTTCAATTTCTATCACGTCTTGTCAAGCAAACAAAAGAAACTTTCCCAAAAATATGATTTAGAAGAGATTTAAGCTAAGCCATTTTTATTTAATCTCAGAGCACATCTATACTCACATTGAATTAAAAAAGGCCAATAACTGATTAAATTTTCTGCACATCAATCATTAATTTCAATCGATAATCACTGGATATGTGAAATTTCATGACCTAAATTAACAATAAGTAGATTGTATTAGTAATCAAATCTTATTTGAAGGCGTGGATCACAATTTATGCCTTTTAATTATTACAAACTAACACCCCTCAAGAATAATCGGATGTCTATTTTCTAGTGGTGTGAATTGAACATTGAATTATTCATTCACTAAGAGAAATATGTGAAAAAGAAGAACCAGATTTTGTCTTTTTTTTGGCATAATGTAAATATAATACTTACAAACTGTTTGAATCGTAAAATTCAGAATAGTTCAGCCGTGGAATAAAAGTATACGTTGATTGGACGCTGGGTAGGCAATAGTGTCATCCATCTAGTCCATTGTTTGTGCGTAGACTGAATACTATCCGTCAAACTTAACTGAGTGCCCCACAATGCTTGGTGGTTCACCATCACTGTGAACTTTGAATTGCGGTTATTAGATGGTGGGTGGTAATCGTCCACAGGAAGCCTCAGATCACCTAGATTTTGTGCTTGTTGACACTCACCAGTCAGTAAGGCGTATCTGAAACCCTGAAGGAACTCATGTCCCTACCCTCTGAGATTTGAACCTGTGTCATCCAGCAGTGCAGTCAGAGACGTTAACAATGAGCTATTTGGGCTTGCAATGTAGTAGTAGCAGGCTGCCGATACGAATTTAAAACAAGCAACAAAGGTTAATGAGACAGGAATCGGTGAATTCATTAAATTTCGGTCGAACTCTTCACTGAATACTCTGCATACACGGATATGTATATCATTAGAATTACATTGGAAGATAGAAGACTGATAAGTAAAATAAACTGCATTGAATCAATCATTCAAAACGACAAGTGTGAATCTTTTTTCAGGTTACGTTCAAATATGTAATGCGTAGGGGTTATGAGTGACTAAAATTAAGATAAAATGCATTACTGTTCGATTACGTCACCTAAATAAGCAATTAGTTATGCGTGAGTGAAAGAAGTTGAATATATCAAGAATTTTGAACTAAATAATACCGATTATAATTATAGTAATGCTAATAACAACAATAGTAATGTTAAAACGAGTTAAGATAATGGTAATGATAAAAGAAAGTTTAAATGAATAAGAGGTAGAATAACATATTAATAATTAATGACAGTTAATAATTAAAACATGCTGCCATCGTAGATTCAAAGTGACGACCATATCCTTTTGTACACAGAAACCTGATTTATAAACTCTAATTGCGGAAACCTCCGCAATTACAGGCATCTTCTTGTTTGTCAGCTGACAACAGTGAAGGACTTGACAGAGTCAATATCATTTCCAAAGTCTATAAGATGCTTCGTTATTAAGCTTTATATCCCTTTGACTTTAGCTGTTTTCAAACACTATGGCAAAAGTTCCATCATGCGAGTAGACTATTTGCATCTTTGTATGACCTATGTATCTGCTCCCACAAACACACTAAAATCGATATACGCAGTTTAAAGTGTCAAGGATTGGTGACTGATCTTTCCCAGATTGTTGAAGCACCCGCTTGGTGATGATGTTAAGAAAGACAAGTTTTGCAGTATAATAACTTCTCTTGATAGCTTTGTTGAATCATTATCGAGTCGAATGAAGACATTCGTTCGCAATTTCATCACACTTCTCTACAATATTGATTAGTATTGACTTGATTAGAATAATTATGTCCGAATTCGGGCGTCGGTGGCAAAGTGGTTAGGACTCTCGCCGACCATGCACATGGTCCGGAGTTCAATCCCTGCCGACACACACCTGATATCAGTAGTCGGCCTGCGAAATTTGGGCTACCGATATCACATGCTGAAAATTCCATACTTGTACCAAAAATACAGTGTGGTTTCAAGCTATAATCAATATGGATTTGGGTGATGAAGAAAAAGATGCCTGCAGTGTTGTCGATTTTGTATTACATCTTAATTCATTAATAAGTGTATTCCTTGTTATTCGTTTGTTTATTCTACTTGATAAGACCGAATATTAGCCCTTGCATAATTTGTGAGTTATAGAGTATATGAGGCTATCTTTGAAGTACTAAGTAGGAGCAGATATTCGGAGAAGCCTATTGGTTATAGCTATAATCAGCTGTAAATCAAAAATCAAAATCAAATCTAAGTGTCTTAATTTTCCGCACACTGTCAGCCGTTCCACACAACTAGGTTGAGTGACGTTAGAAAACATGATACCATGGCCTTCAGACACAAGATAATTAGGCAACTAGAATGCGGATATGTTTATTCTAGTGTATTTGAACAGCCCCACAATATGCCCCATAGAATCAATCAAGGTGTACAGATTACATAGTCCACTTGAAATATTCACCAACACAGGAATCAAAACGAATTCTAGTCTTTTCAAAGTTAAATATCTAAAAGTTGTCAATCTTCTCCGGTTTCATCATCCTTCCAGTCAAATTATTATTCATGACTTCGATTACATCACATCGGTGAGCAAGTGAACTTTAGTATTAAGGAAAGGTAGTTAAACTTTCTGTGATTTACATTTACTCTGTCTATTCTGATGGTATCCAACATGTTTCTAGGCAACTCAAACACATAGAAATAACTATGGCCAGATAGTAGTTCATGCATGATTCTATATGATTATTATTCTCCTATTGGTAGTTGATTCACTTTGACTGTTTCTCATTCATTTTCGAGGATAATCATGATAACACATGGGCTTCGGTGGCACAGCGGTTAGGACTTTCACTGACCAGGCACATGGCCTGAAGTTCCATCCCTTACCGACTCACACCTGATATATAAATGGTCGGTTTGTAGAATTTGGTCAACAATCAGCATAAATGGGAGGAGCCTGAAAGAAACAACCTCCTTTACCTACCGATATGGAAAGCATCGGTTCAACTACAGGTGGACGGAGCTGACGAGGATATCAAAGCCAGAATCGGAAAAGCAAAACAAGCTTTCACTACTCTTAAGTCTGTGCGGAGGTCAAAAGCACTCAGCATCAAAAATAACATCCGGATTTTCAACTCCAATGTGAATTCAGTCAGTGCTACTATACGGATGGATCAGAGACTTGCACTGTGCGTCATAAAAAGCATCTCAAACAAACTTCAGACCTTCATATACAGTTGTCTTCGCTCAATACCCAAGATAAGATGGCCGGCCATAAAAGATCAGTAACACGGATCTCTGTAAATGAGCGAACCAACCAGGAACCGATTGTGAGACAAATAAGCAGGAAGAAATGGAGATGGATTGGCCATACTCTGAGGAAACCATCAAGTGACATCACTAGACAAGCCATCGCTCGAGTGAAACCGGAAAGGGAAGCGGCGAGTTGGTCGTCAGTGCAAGGGTGACTTGGAGGAGGTCATATGAAGAGATGAAAGCATGGGGGCAGACTTGGGGCGGGGTGAAAAAGTTGGCAGGAAACCGAAGGCAATGGAAACGCGCAGCTGAAGCCCTATGTTCCTCTCGGAATTAAAGGATATAATAATAATAATATCTCATGCTGAAAATTCCAAACCTTTACCGAAAATACTCTGTGGTTTCAAGCTACAATCAAAATTTTAAAAAATTCTGGACAGTATTTATAAAATGTACAGAATTTTCAGGAGTTTATTACATGATATTTTCCCTGCGTACAATGTCTCCAAGTAAAATATTAATAGACAGTATATCTTGAGCCCCACACTGGTCTCTGAGCTGAAGCATAGACCATTCCATTTTGATGACATATCTGCTTTGTCTCCTTCAAGAAATCGACGATGACGATCTAGTTGAAAGCCAATTGTAAAATGTTCAGAAGTACATTTTGAGATCTAACAAGGACTTAACTGAGGAACAGTTATCGCATGTATTGGGATATGTTGCCACCCACAATCAAGTCATTCCTCAAGTTTAGTAGGAACTTGAGAATCAGAAGCTTGTAAACATTTTAAATACACACATAAGAGTAGATAATACCCTTAGAAGTAATATCTTAATCGATTAAAACAAACCAAGCGAGAGAAAATCTGTGGAATAGATAGATGGAAGTTTTTGGTAGCCCAAGTTTCAAGCAGGCCTCTGACGATACGAAAAGAAAGCATTTCATATACATTTCTACTCTTCAGACAACAAAATCTCTGTAGCCATCGGCAATAACATTAAAATCTAACTTTCTGCTGAGATTTAACAACGTGGCATCACAGTGAGAAAGTGAATTTCTACCGGTTATCAGACTAGAAAGTTGACCTTGTAAGCTATTCACTCTCAAGAAACTATATAAGCTAATTGATGTAGTCATATTTTGTGCCACTGTGCTTATCTATCTATATGTGCTCTTAATGGTACGACTACAATTAAGTCTATTGAATATATAAGTACAAATAGAATAAGGATATTGATTATGTGTTTCTATGTGAAAATTTACAACAATGTGTATGTGATATTATGTTAACAATCATACAATAGAATGCTGAAGACAACTGGAAATTAAATAATACCATTATATTGACAATTTATTTCAGATTTGTTGCTTAGATGAAATACGGATTACAAGCAAATTTTATTTCATACATTTTCTAAGTTGATAAGACACAAATGAGAAGCATAATTCATGTCACTGTCTGCTTGGTCACATGCACGTACTCACATATATCTCATGTAAATTTATGCATGACAATCTGGTTTACTGAAATCTCAGGATCTCTCTGTGTTGTTAGTTGTAGCTACGACGGAGTATCTAATGCAGCTATAAAGCAGTCTTTTAGAAGTCTCATTTATCTGAAAAGTTACATTGGTTACAACGGACTTTTTTGAGCAGTGAGCTGTAAGAACAAATATTAAAGGGAGTGTTTCTTATTCACCAGCCTTAGTCATTCTTGGTCATGATAACATATCAGCCGAATAGTCCGAATGAGTTGTCGATTTTTAAATATCCTTGTCTTTGTAACTACCTTCCTGTGTTGCGCAATCACACAATGAATAATTTCGACAATGGAGATTAGATACTTAGGTGAAAAATGATGAAGTTAGTTTATAAAGTTGTGAATTCTCATTGGCTAGGATTGCTGAAGAATGTGTTGCTAGTGTCGTAGTACTGTAACAACAGAAGACAAGGGCCAGTCAACATATCGTTTATTAAAGAAATTGACACATATTTATAGATTTTCATGTACATATTACAGGTTATTGTTAGCAGAAAAACACAGTCTTCTGATTGGTTGTTTCTCACAAAAAGTTAACCTTTCATCTCTTTGTGACTGTTTCTTGAATGTCAGATCATCTATATGTTAACTGTATCTGCCTACGCAAAGCCTTTGTTCTCATTCTCCTCACGACCAATATTAGGGACATAAATATTGACGGAAATTAGTGTCCACCAATTTCGAATAACAGCCAGCTCTCACCACAGTACTAGCCTGCTCAATAAAGTAGTACAATAAATATAAAATGAGGAAAACAGCACAATCGATCACACTAGTATATGTTGCTTTATCTTTCATTCAAAGATATGACAGCTGTCTGAATAAGGCTCATGTACAGTTATATGGTCAAGTGAACCGACATTACCTAACTCTACACTAATAGGCGCCTGGTTCCATATAGGGTTAAACATTCAATCTTAAAAAGCACTAACTTTTTATTTTTGATTACAGCTTGATTCCATACTGTATTTTTGGTACAAGTAAGGAATTTTCAGCATGGATATCGGTAGCCCACATTTTGCAGGCCGACCATAGATATCAGGTGTGCGTTGGCAAGGGATCTAACCTCGGACCATATGCATGGTCGGCGAGAGTCCTAACCACTGTGCTACCGACGCACCGACGCCAAGACAGGTTTAATTACATTCATTCAATGTGTTCAATACTTATGGCTATTTTGTTGAAATTGAATTCAGTCGAAATTTTTACATGTCCTTAGACAATTTTAAACTGAAGAACAGTTTTTTTATTCTTTAATGCAAGTTTCGCCCCTGAGTAGCTCTCATCAGCCAACTATTTTTAGTATTAAAAATATCAGCCTGTAGCAATGTATATAGCGAGTCCATTCCTGCTAGCATTATCTTACTATTTCTGATTTACTTATTTTTTTTGTATTTATTTCTCTACAGTAAAAGACCATCAGTACAACAATGTTTAAATCATCCTTGGATGGCGATGCGTGAAGAAGACAGACCACCAGTGAAAAGAACAGTTTCATTGTTTCGTCATAGTACACGAAGAAAGCCTAAAGGAGTAAGTCTATCTACTTTCTATTATATGGCGTATTGTGTAAAATTGTATGCGGTGGTTTGTTTAAAATAATTTGCTGTTTAAGTGACTTTTAAAATACTCTCAGACGATTTATTAGAAGATGAAAGAAATTTACTAAATGTCCAATAGAATAAACCACCTTTAAAGTGAATTTATACACTCTATTGCATGAAGAACGATAGTTACATTGGGTGATGCTATATATCATGAACTGCTGGATGTTAAAACTCATGGTTTATTGGACCCCATAACCAAAGATTCCTGGTTCCAATCCCTTGTGGGATCATCGGCGCATACTCCTGAAATGAGACGAAACAGTTGTCTATTAACTCTCTTGTTTTCAGTGATTCTTTAACTAATGTAAATTTTCGATCCAACATCAAAAATGTAACCGTTTCTGAGACTAAAATGGCAGGACAGAATACTTCATGTTTTGGTTTAAGATGATTTACTTGCCGTTGTTGGTGGTGATGTAAAAGACTCAAGCTGAATACAACACGTCTAACTTCACGTTTTACCTATTTTAATACATCTAATTTCCATTTTTTGAGAAAGATAACAGAATGACTTTATGAACTCAAGTTAACTGAGCATATGTATACGAGTAAAAATATTTCCCTGCAATATTTTAGGCCTGTTTGCTGTAGTCCTGAGTGTTTACTTCTCGATTTGATTGGTATCGAGAGGCTAGTCTTATGTTGTGTAGTGGTTAAATCTAATTAAATGCACTTATGACGACGAATAACATTATTATTAAGATGAAATAACGACATATGCCATCTCCTACTTTCATACTCCTTAATAGGAAATTTCCGTAGATCTTTAATGCAAAGCTATGACTAACGAAATCTGCCAAGTTCAAGATAATGATTGATAATCACTAGTGATACACTGTGGCAGCCAAAAAAAAAATCAAACTCTGAGCTCCAACTAATTCAAAGCTGTTTCACAGGAAGAAACAACTGTCCAATGGGTCTTAGCATTGAGTGGTTGTTTAACCAATGTTAGTCTGTGATAAAATCCTCCTTGTGATCTGCGGTTCATTCTCCACATCTAAAACAACTCAAATTGTGTGAAAACGTAGCATGAATATTTAAAATATACAAGTGTGCGTCGGTGGCACAGTGGTTAGGACTCTCGCCGACCATGCATATGGTCCGAGGTTCGAGCCCTTGCCGACGCACACCAGATATCTATGGTCGGCCTGCAAAATTTGGGCTACCGATATCCACGCTGAAAATTCCATACTTGTACCAAAAATACGGTGTGGAATCAAGCTGTAATCAAAAATAAAAAAATTACCGAAATACGGAGTGAAGAATGGTAAACTGGGAAAGAGTATTTTTATGCTATTATATTTTCTGAGCTTGGTGATTTAGTTTTAAAGATTTCATCTCCTTTCTAGACAATAATGTAGGCGATTACTTCAAAGTGAAGAGAGTTTAATTTGGAATTTTCCATAAATGATATAACTATCCCTCCTGACTCACTTGCTTGTGATCGGTTGTCTTCAATGGTTTTATCAATCATGCGTTTTAGTTTCTATTGTTAGCAATTATTTAATTGATCTCGAATTTGACCTTATTGTCACTTTCGCCATGTGATTTATCATCTATTTGGTTGATATGTCTTTTAAATGAAGATCAATCTGAGTGCCAGGCTTCCAACAATTGTCTGGTATTTTTAGTATTTCCGCTTTTTGGTTAAAATGGTAAAAACGTCACGTTCCAAGTAAATAAAACGATTGATACCAACACAAATTAATACAAGGATAATAAAACCTTTAAAAGAGATGACTAAGTACACGTTCATCAGAAGAGACAGTTACATCTTTCATAGTGAACGTTGAACATGTTTTCTAGGAAGATAATGGAGAGCCTGGAAGCAAACCATCCACCTCAAAGAAAAAAACTTCAACAAAACGTCCATCTGTAGCACAAATCTCGCCCATTATTTGAAAAGGAGTATGTATAAAGCCAGATGATGTACTAATATGAGGTGATCACAAATTTCCACATTATTTTTTTAAATGTCTAAATGGCTTTCAATTTATCTGTCGATAAAATTACGGTGATTGAATTAACCATGGATAATAAACTTGATGATCTTTGAATGTGATTCAGCCAAAATTACTAACTTTAGTTGTAGGTTTTATTGTAAGGTTGAGTTCAGTCTCCTGGATGCACGATGACAGAACATCAAAAGACAGCGTCTCATCATTAGATAAAGGTGCCAGTTACGATCGCTACACGTTCCTTAACTTCACTTCTGCTTCCGACTCTGTACCTAGATGTCTCTTGCTATACAAGCTCTCGATGACACAAAATGAGTCCTGGGTCACTAACTGATTGCATTTCTATTTTTCAAACAGAATGCAGTACACTGTATACAAAGGTAAATCCTCCTCTCCTGTGCTCACTGAAGCTGGTGTCCCCCAAAGTGCTGAACTCTCCCTTTTCTCTAATCTTTCTTCCTACATGACTTACCACCTTCAAATGACATTAATTTTGTCAAATATGCTGATGACCTAACTGTATCTTTACCTGTCAAATGTCAAAGTGACAGCTCTAAACTAAATGGCTTCTTATCGGAAATTAGCCAATGGTCCAAGGAAAACGGTCTTACCTTGAATCCCTCTAAATGCCAAACAGTCAGTTTAACCTTTAGGCACAAATCTGACCTAAACAAACTGGTTAGCACTCACGAGGTGTGCAACATAGATGGCGCTGAAATAGAAACCAAGTCAGAAATTAAATACCTAGGCGTCACTCTATCTACTGATCTTTCCTTGTCGTCTCATATCTTGATGATTTCTAAGAAAATATTTCGTCTTACCTTCTACATCAAGAAGTTAAGACATTCTGGTGTAACCCAACGCTTACTCCTACAATTCGTTAACTTCCGTATTATGCCTATTATTCTCTATTGTTCCCCATTAGTTTTCCCTGGGCTACTGAAGAAAGACTATACCTTATTACGTAGGGTGTTAAAGGTTGTCAGAGGGTTAAGCAATGTGCCACTCAACCAGCTTGTTAATATTCTGGTCGACAAGCACATGGACTCATGTGAAAAATGGGCTAAATCCATTCTATCTAACTCACACCACCCTCTTCATTCGCAACTCTCCCCTTGTATCTCATCAGGCAGGCAGACCAGAAGCCTATATAGAAAACTATATGCTTGCACTAGCAAGTACAAAAACTCAACCATACCCTACCTAGCTCGAGTTCTGTGCGATAAATAAAGCATTCGGTGTGATACCTATAATATATTGAATAGTCAGTAGAACAACTGGATCTCGTCTTTCCAATTCATATCATTTATAGGTACAACGTTTTCTTTCTTTCTTTTCCTTTTCTCTCCCCCTTTTTTGTTTTGTTTTCCGTTACGTGATGCTTTGTTTCTTTCTTCTGCTTACGCTAGTAAATATGCTATCATCTACTTTTCTAACACCTTCAAACGCTCTGTTCAATTTGAGCTTTGCTACTGACATGCCAATATGTTGTTGTCAAAACTAACTGAGATATCCTTAATCTATGTAGAGAATTTTATTTATTCATAATGTACTGACTGGATGCAATACTGTAGTGAAATGCTGAGAATTCCATTCTGTATCACAAGTACTGTTTTGGAATAAAGCAAATTATTATTATTTCATCGCTTTCCATGTTGAGTGGAACATAGCACTTCAAGCATCTGTTTGAAGTTTCAGCAATAGGGGTGTTTTTTCTATAGAGTGAAGTTGCTACTCGCAGACGCCGACCTTGCTTCTTTTCCGATCTTGCTATGGGCTAAGAAACTTGGGCGATATCTTAGAATGCATCGGTTAGGAATCAAACTCGGTTCAGATATATGGCTGATGAGCGTTTATATCTTAGGCTAGTAATTATCAGTGTAAATCACTAGAGTTTTCTTCTATGTATAAATACTTAGAAAATAAAAATTTACAATTATTTCGTTCATTTTTAGTATTGTTTCAAACCACGAACAATTCAAAAGGGTGATCCACAAGATCCTGTTACAGGATCAAGTCTAAAAATCAAGTCTGAGCAATCCAAATACTTTCACACTGTAAAAGAAAAAAACTCCATCATTTAAAAAAAGCAAGAGAACAAGAGAAATCCACTTTCGTTTTCGTCAAAAGTAAAGCAATACAAACACATGAGCAAAGTCACTCATGTTAACAGTACGCACAAATTTCTCTAATAAGCGGACAGATTGAATTGTCAAGATTTGATTTAACAATTTTCTGTCTAAAAGTATTGAGAATATTTTGTACTTTTGTTTACAGGATAATATTTCGTTTTTCATGTGATTTCCAGTCACTTTTCATCATTGCAATGAATATATATATATATATATATATACGTATATATGTAAACGGTCACAGTATGATTATTATTATTATGACTGAATGTAAATTAAAATCATTTTTCCTCATAACCAAAATTGTTTGTTACATTTAAAAAATGCAAAAGTTTCAAATATTTAACAATCTACTCCACAAACTTTGCATTTTAACTGGATGAAATTAGGTTAAGAGAGAATTTTTACGAGTTGACCACGAATTGATATCAGTTAGAGAACCATTGAAAACCAGCACCGGAGTACTGGACAGCTGCTGTTTCATCCTAGTTTGGGAATCATCGGCAGTACGCACCCACTGGGATTCGAACCCAGGACCTTCCGGTTACAAGGTCCAATTAGATGGCACGTGTGTGGATGGATGTCCCACCAACGACAATGGTTGGGGTCGCGCTAAATCATGAATTGGTAGAAGTTAGAATTCACGAGCCATTGAATCGGGTCCCAGTGGCTGAATGGTATACGAGCTTGCCTTGTAACCGGAAGGTCCTGGGTTCGAATCCCAGTGGGTGCGTACTATCGATGATTCCCAAACTAGGATGAAACAGCAGCTGTCCAATACTCCCTGGTTTTCAATAGTTCTCTAACTGACATCAATCCGTGATCAACTCGTAAAAACATAACTAATCCTTACAAACCAAACTATAGAAAATAAGAGATAATTGTTAATCATCCTGTTAAACGTAGTTGATGAAAACTGAATCATTTCAGGTTGCTAGGCTTCCTACGCATATATACACACACCCAATTCCTTTCAGTTGTTGAGGTAGAGTATTCACAGTTTTCATAAAACTTGACAGTTTAACAATAGAGACGATGTTTAGACAGTTGTATATCCAAGATTCATGGTGTGGAATAATGCTGTTGTCCACCCACGCCAAGTAAAATGCTAAATCGTATCATCTTGGAGAAAATCAAGGCTGCACTAGATGCAGAACCTCACCCACCGACCAGAACAAGCTGGATTCAGGAAGGGCGATTTATGTGCTGATCTAATTGCAACTCTGCCCATCGTCATCACAGAACAAAGCATGAAATGGCAATTAAACCTCTCTCTCTACCTCAACTTCATCGACTTTGAAAAATCCTTCGACAGAAAGCGTTGACCGAGAAGTAATTTGGAAACTGCTTCAACACTACAACATGCAGTGCTCAAGTCTTTATCGACCTTATTCAACAACTGACTATATGGCAATGCCAGATGTCAGGTGATCCACAACGGAAAACTCAGAGAGGTGTTCCAGGTGCATACAGGAGTAAGATAGGGCTGCCTACTATCACACATGATATTCTTAATTTTGATGGATTGGATTATGCATCAGACTGTAGGGTACCGAGGACACAGAAATACGCTGGACCACTGATAGAAGACTCTAGAAGATCTGGATTTCATCTGTAGGTCATTTATGTATAATTTCACACAAACTCGAAGACTTGCTGGCAAAAAGTAACAAACTGGCTGAAGAGACTGGCTGGCAGAGAAGACAGGACTCCAGGTGAAGATACAGAAGGCAGACGTGATGAAGATAATCAACCAACAATAGCAACCAGCATCAATCACCATCAACGGGAGAGATTTAACAGAAGTTACCTCCTTCACTTATCTCGGAAGCATCGTTTCAATTACAGGCCGGTGGAACGGATGAAAATGTCAAAGGTAGCCAGAAGTGGAAAGGCAAGATATGCTTTCATCAACCTGAAACCAATTTGAAAATCTTTTACAATCAGTAAGCATAAAGAAAAAGATTCGGATCCCCAACACCAATGTCAAACCGGTCCTTCTAAACGGGTCAGAAACTTGCACTGCGTGCCAGTCACGAAAAGGATTTCCAACAGGTAGTAGAATTTTATCAACAGCTGCCCATTTCGTTGGCTCCATACTGAAGGTCAAACACCTGACCGGCCAGGAAAAATCAACAACAGGAAACTCTGGCTATGAACAAACCAACCGACAGCCGATCGCTCAACAAATATGAAGGTGAGAATGGAGATGGATCAGGCACACGTTAAGGGGGCCGTAAAATGATATCGAGCGCAATGCAGGCTATCACTCGAGTGGAATTCCAATGGGAAGTGATGAGTGGGTCATCGGTGCGAGGATGTCAAGGAGGAGGAGATCAGAGTTTATGGGTAGTCGTGGATCCAGCTGAAGTGGACAGTGGAGAATGGTACAGAGTGGAGGTGTGTTGCTGAAGACCTATGTTCCACTCAGGACCCAAGGAAATAATAATAATGATAAAACATCCAAGATTCATGTAGTAATTACTCATATTACATAAATACCTAGACTTTCATTAGATTTCTACTATGTCACACAAATTTGAAGACCTAGAGACGAAAGCCAACAAGTTGGTGGAAAAGGCAGGAGCCGAAGATGGAACTTCAAATGAACTTAGAGAAGACGGAGGCGGTGAAGATGACCAGAAAACAACAACAAACACTAATCACTATTAACGGGAAAAAACGGGAACGAAGTAACTTCTTTCGCTTATTCAGGCAGCATCATTTGAATTACAGGTAGACGGTATGTCATGTAAGGCATTTCGAACAGATTATCACAGGCTTTTATCAATAGCTGCCTTCGTCCTATATTGAAGATCAGATGGCTGCCTAGGAAGAGTTAGCAACAAGGAACTCTAGGAACGAACTAACCAAGAATGAGATGGATCGGACATATACTGAGGGAACCGTTGAGTGACATTGCACGCTATGCCCTCAAGTTGAACCCGAATGAGAAACGTTGAGTTGAGTGTAAGTCAGAGGAGATAGTTTGAGGATGAGATAAGAGCCTATGCACGATCGTGTAGACAGCTAAAGAGGACTGTGAAGAACAAGATACTTCTGTATTTTGATTGGATACCGACTAAGGTCATGCGTGTAGTCCCTAGTTTGACGCAGACTGAATTCTATCAGTCAAGTTTGCAATGTGACCATCATCTAACAAAAACAGTTCGGACTACACTGTGATGGCAAGTCACGTAACATAGTGACCACATTGCAAACCTGACTGATAGAATTCAGTCTGCAGCAAACAAATGACTAGACGCATAACACTAGTTAGTGTATAATCAAAATCACAAATACAGTCCCATAGAAGGTCAGTCGTGAGCCCAAATGACTCAGTGGTAACGTATGTGATTACAACACTGAAGGGTACTGGTTCGAATCTCAAAAGAGGGCATGAATTCCTCTAGGACTGCTGATACGCCTTGCTGACAATTGCCAACTAGCACGAAACCTTGGTCTGCTGTTTCCTAACGATTACCTTCAACCATCTAATGCTTCCCTTCTAAAACTGTTTATTTTGATAAGAATAGTGGCTGACTATATAGCATCCAGGACAATTAAGTGTTTAGAAATGACCCTGTGAACAATAAATATAGTTAAGTGGATAATTTACTGAATCTTTGATTATCAGTACAATACTGAGTGTGTGTGTGTGTGTGTGTGTGTGTGTGTGTAGTAAGAATAGCGATAAACAGTCCTTCACTAAATCAACCAAAACACAATTGATTGGACCATTAAAACTAAGTGTTGATAGTTGTATGACTACTTTGATGTAATTATGAACAATAAAATGTATGTAGAGTATAAAGACAATAAATAAGTATAATACATCACTGTGTATACTGCGATGATATAAACGTGTCTAGTATGAAATGAAAGTTTATGATAATATTCAAGTTCTACGCTTGTATTGATGATTAAAACAATTGGAATGTAATCAGTCGTGCCAATAAAATATAGTTATTTAAAAGAATTTTAAATTGTTATGTGATGTATGTGTGCGTCAGTAGCACAACGGTAGAATGATCGCCGACTACGCGTGTGATCCAGCGTCCGATCCCCGGCCGACAAGGCACTCCTCTACCTAATTAAGCCATCAATAAGACTGGTAACGAGGGTATATTGGAGATAAGGCTAGCGATCCTATCCTATAAAAGTAAACACCACTGCTACTGTAACTTCAAGCCTCTAGGGTGAAGCCTTATGTACCAATGGGGAAGTAAAGGAATAACAATTTAAAAAATGTGATACATATAAGAATGGTATGCTTGTCAACGGTATTGATGGGAACAATCCCCACTACGCTTTATTGTGGATGCAATAACGAAAACAAATTTAACAATTGGATAGTGAGCAGAGACTGATCGGCTTCGAGAGACAACTGGTCGATACAAAGTACTTAAACGTAAGAAGAATGTCGAAGTCTTTCCTACAGCTCAAGCAAACTTTAAGTACGTATACGTTCCACTGAGAGTGGAAATACACCGGTCTAACTGACTGCTGGCATTCTCACCTGCGTCATCTAATAAGAACTTATTTGACTGCTTACATTCTGATCAAGAAAATCATACCCAAAATTTCAGAGAAATGAAACACTACTTGTATCAAAAAGAAGGGAACTTCAAATGAAACTAAATTTCAAGGGAGACTTAACTTACGACATTCTTAAGTGAAACATTTTATCATCTTAGTGAAATTCTTTCGTAGCAACGCCAACAGTAGTGTTCTCTTCAGTTGTCCACTGATCTGCAGAAGCCGGAAGGACAACCACCTCGTATATGACCACTTCTATGTGCATATTATCAAATCACCTGTTCCTGTAGAGCCAGTTATATTGGTCGTCCAACGATTATTTTGTCTAAAATGGTTCACGAACACTATCCCACATGGCTGTAGAAAGGTAGTAGTGGCTCTATGGGGAGGTACGATAATTGAACACCTTGTCAACACTAGTCATTTCATCTCAACAAACGCCATCTTCAAATTAATCTACAAAGTGAAGAGCAGCCTGTCAAAAGGCAATACTCTTTTGCATTGCCGAAGCCTAGCTATTCAGTTAGTGAAACCACAGTTATGCATATAAAAGGAAATTAGTCAACCACATCTAGCTACTATCATGGTTAAAACCTTGTTGGTATCCATTGACTTGATTTTTTTTGCTTGCTTTTCTAACTCCTTATAACTCTTGTATTTCTTTTTGTGTACATCCTGAGATTACAACTCACACATTAAGCTATTCATCTTATTATGTAACTCTAATACGATTATTCGACTTTTCTCATACAATAATTAATATTAACAACTATGATTTCGGTAGGTGATCACTTTTCACTATGCTCTTTCATGAAAACAGATTACATATAAATACGATTGTACAGCTAAAGTTGAAAATTAATCCACCGAAAAGAGTCTCTTGTTTTCTTCTTTCTTCATTATTAATGCCTGGATGGGGATTATTCGTCAATCTTGAAGAATTTCATCATCAGCTGAAATCAGTTAGAGAACCATTAGAGAACCTGCAGGGAGTACTGAACAGCTGTTTCGTCACACTAGCCTGGGACTCTTCATCAGTACGCATCCACACCACAAGGTTTGAAACCAAGACCTTCCGGTTACACGGTGAGCCAGCTCGTAGATCATTAAGCCACTGAGACCCCATCCAATGGCCAACGCATGAATTCTAACTTCGGCTAATTGACGACATAGCGCAACCATTTCACAATGTCTTCTACAATGAGTTACTGCCTCACCTTTAACCTACTCTACCTTCCTCGTCACGGTTTCCCACCGGAACCTCAGGTTAACTGCCTGAATAGGGCCAGTCGCTAGTGAGCATCAGATTAATTTTCAAGTATTGCCTATTTTGTAGGGATTTTGTTTGATTGTTTCGAAGATTTCATCATGAGTTGACTGACATCAGTTAAGAGAACCATCGGAAAACTAACAGGGAGTACTGGACAGCTGTTTCATCACACTAGTCTGAGACTCTTCATCAGTACGCACCTATGCACACAGAAAACATGATCCAACATAAAAATGTACTTATTCTTTGTTTGAAAAACAAATTTAGACTATTCGCATAATTTACAAAACAAATCAAAAACAACAAATAAACAGAGAAACGCTGACACACAGAGAGTGGACTGATAAAAACCAAAATATTATTTTAAAAAAAAAAGAAAGAAAGAAATGAGAAATACAGCACACATACAAAAAACCTGTAGGTAGGTAGATCGCACCAGAGTTGAAGTGAAAACACAAACAAACAGAACAAGTGCATGTAATGAGATTAACCGTCTTTTTTTAGTAGCATAGATTAAAAAGAGTTGGGAGATGTGTTGTCAAACATCAGTAATAGATGGTGATATATTATTAAGCAAAATTATTTTTAAAAAAGAAAATTTACCCAAACATAAAGAACCCGTAATATGGCTTTAAAACCTCCCTATAAAGATCTGAGTATAAATTGGGTTATTCATCCTAAGTTAAAAATACACCGACATTTTAAAACACAAGCAATAATCACAGCAATTACCGATGGGAATTCCATCATCCATTCAATTATTTACTGTGGTATGGTAATTAGTAGTATGTTTTATATATACAAACAAAGTAAAAATAAATTGTCAGTGTTTGCTTAAATTTCATGAAAGACAACTGGTATACTTAAGAGACGAGGTGGAGGAGACAAGGAGGTGGTAATGGTGTTTCTTTTGTGGCAAAATACAGAAAAGATGAGTGAAAATTTTATGTGTTTAAAATAATAATAATATCACACTGGAACCACCACTCTCCTTTAGGTTTAAAATGAGGATGGTTGACAACAGACACAGGGCGGAGAGGGGGAGAATAAATACATTCATCCTCGTCATCTTCTGACCCCACACTGACAACGACAACGACGACAACAACAACAAGAGGATCGTGGAAACAGAAGCAGGGTAACCTAAAAATGGATTTTTTTTTCTTTAAAAACACCTGAACCTTTACAAGAAGTGAAGATGTTAAAAGGAGAAGAAGAAGAAGGAGAGAAACAGAACAAGGAGAAGCAAGATCCTTTAAAGTAATCGTGATTGCAAAACTGTGACCAGTAATAACTAATTAGCCTAAAATATAGAGTACAGATCAAAGTTGTCATGCAATCATAAGTGTATGACACAACCTGATGGTACTACTTGGTAGAGTGGAACTAATCCACCGAAAAACGACGATCTTTAAAAAGATAGAGGATGCAAAATACAAACAGACAAAATAATAAAATCTATCAGAAAGCATAAAATATAAAATGACAGAGGGAGGGGAGCGCGAGGAGGAAGTGAGTGAGCAGAAGATAACTATTTACAAAATGGTGAGAAGGATAAAGAGACGAGTTTTTCTTCTCTAAGTGTAGGGGAACAGTCACCACGGGAGATCATATTAAACAATAAGCAGTAAAAAAAGAGAGGAAAGTCGAAAGAAATGAAAATAATAAAAAGAATGCACACAGAACAGTGTAGTAAATAAACAAAGATAGACAATAAAGTATGAAGGCATCATTCGGTATGCTGTGCTGTATTATATTGTATACATCCATGCATTAGACATCTTTAACAGACAATAGATTAGCTTGTTCAGTAGTGAAATGATTGTGTTGACCGCTATAATGTGGAGTTGTCCCATTCATCATTACACTTGACTTGATAAGTGATTTTGGATAATGTCCAACAACAGATAAATGTAAACCCATCGCTTGAGTATGATATTCAAAATCTTCTTTTTCAATCTGGATAGTTAAATGTGCAATGGATGAAAAATGATTGCCAACTATATCCTTGACCTGTTGTTATACATTACAAAAAAATAGAAAAAAGGTATGTTAACTGACGAAAAAAGAGAACCCACAACTGATAGACTTCAATAAGACTTACAATGAATGGTGAGATATGTTGGGAGCTATTGAAAACCAAGCGGAGGCGGTAGTCAGTTCTACTATAAAACTCTTCAGTAGAATTAACCCAAAACTTCATTTGGATAAAGTTAAGCAGAAAATCAGATTCCACGGCAACTGTCTTGCCCAGTGAGTAAGAACCTGAATGTCAGTCAGCGTAGTCAACTTCTATGAATTCCCTATGTAGCATCATCGTAATCAAACTCTTTATTAGACACCTGACTTTATTAATATATGTGGTAAAACTTGGACAGTGTGGCAGTAAGTAATTCCATATTAGTTTCTTTATTAGATGTATCATACAGTGAAACAGTATTATTTACTGGATGACGTTTCGAACAAAAATTATTGTTTATAATCATATTAATTGTAGTCACACGACTTCAAAACTTGAGTTTTATTATAGTTAGATAGATTTTTCGAACACATTAACTCAAAGATGGAGGCAACATTCAGTTCACTCATGAAAATGAAAGTCAGGAAGGGAGCATCCAATGTTAGATTGCAACGTAAAAATGAAAGAAGATGGGAAGTCAAACACACTAGTGTGTGTTTACAGGAAACCCACACATTCAAACCGAGATTTGGATTTCCGATCATCCCATCCTATGTCGGTAAAAATAGGATTGGTGAAATGTGACTGAGCACAAAAACTAAGTAGTAGTACCAAGGAAAATCTAAGACAGGAAGTGAAGAATATAAGAGAAGCTTTGAAATTTAATAATTACCCTGATGAATTAATGAGAAAGTATGTGGGGAAATGTTAAAATAAAATAAATAATGATGATAGTAGTGATAGCGATAATAATATTAATATTAATGACGACATGCATGTCAAACATGTGCAGGATGATGACAACATCAACAATAAGGAATCTAAATCATCAGTAGTAATTCCATACAAAGAAGGAACCTCGGAAACCACCTTACGCAGAATTCTCAGCAAGGCAGAAATAAAAGTGGCATTCAGACCCATAAACTCAATTAGAAATAAGCTTTGTCGGTTAAAGGATCCTGTGGAGCCTTTAAAACAGAAACAATTTAGTTTATCTAGCACCCTGCAATGATTATCAAGTCAAATACATAGGTCAAAGTAGTAGAACAGGGCAGTCAGACTAGCTGAACATAAAAACCTAGCAAAATCTACATTAGTTGACCCAAATAAGATAAGAAATCTAGAGAATAGTTCAGCTATACCACTCACTACATGCAATTACACACAACCAGACAATAGGATGACAGTTTCAAAATCTAATGTCACAGCTGGGTGGAGGGAGAAATTGATAACAGAAGCTTTTTTTATCGAATTAACTGCAAATACCTGTAAGTAGGAATGATTCAACACCTGTACAGTTGGATATCTGGAAAATTCTACTACCCCTACGACAAATAGGAGAAGACAAAGAAAGCTATAAAACTCAAGTTTCGAAGTCGTGTGATTATAATTGGTGAAATGATTATGAACAATAATAAATTTTGTTCGAAACGTCATCCAGTAAATAATACTGTTTCACTGTGTGATATATCTAATAAACAAACTAATATGGAATTACCTGACCTTATTGGCTTTTAGGTGGGTATTGCTGACATTTTTAGGCTGATAAGATAATTTTCATTGATCTCCTAAATGATGACAAGTAGGTAATGACAGTTATGAGATGTTCGTACTGCGGATAAGGACACTAAAACAGAGATAACTGATGTAAAATCAATATATCAGGAAACACGTAGCACACAAAGCAAGAGAAGAAAGTACAAGAAAAGCATAATAGAAACAGTGAGCAGAGGTGTGAGACAAAGGAGTAATAACGAAGAACAAAACAGTTTCATTGGAAATCATAAGTCACAGGAGTGGATGCATCTGCGCCACTGAGAACGATTTTGAGCCATGTCACCAATTGTTTCCAACCATAGATTTTTACCGTCCCGAGGACCCCAGCCTGGAAGTCTACACCTTCCTACGTGGCTTAGACCAACTGTTGTGGATTTCATTGACTGATGCCAAGTTTTTGTTTGACCGCCGCTAGCTTTTTTCCAGCCTGACCCTATATCCGCTAACATTGCTCGTCGAGGGAGGCGATGGCTTGGCATACGTAACACATGTCCTAACCATCTCAGTCTTTGTAGCTTCACGACTTCGTCGATTGATTTCCCCTGTTTACCTAGAACTCTACGCCTAACCTCAATGTTGCTCACCTTATTATGCCACTTTACACGGGAAATAGAACGCAGGCACCTATGATCAAAGACAGCTAGTCTTTTCATGTCTTCCACTCTCAGTGGCCAGGTCTCACAACCATAAAGGAGGACGGAGCGGACTGATGAGCAGTACACCCGCCCTTTGGTCGATAGTCGAACATCTCGTCTACGCCAGAGTCGGCGTAAACTAACAAATGCGAAACGAGCCCCTTGTATTCGTGCTGAGATTTCGTCAGAGATCAGCCCGTTGGGGCTGATGGTACTTCCCAAATAAGTGAAGCGGTCAACGTGCTCTACCACTTCACTTCCTATTTTTAAACTAGGCGTCGATGTAGTCCAGTCCTGTAACATCATCTTGCATTTGGCGGGAGCGAATCGCATGCCAAACATTCGTAGATTGCGGCTCAAGGTGTTTAGAAGACTCTGCATTTCGTCAGCGTCTTCGCCTAGAAGGACTATATCGTCTGCATATTCCAAGTCAACGAGATTATTCCCGGTAGCAAGTCAATCCCTGAGTCGCTGAAGTCACCTAGGGTTAAGTCCATTAACACATCTATGATGAAGTTGAATAGAAAAGGAGATAATGGGCATCCTTGACGGACACCACTGGTCGTCATCAGTTCAGATGACAGCTCGCCGTAAGCCCTCACCTGGCTGTATGAGTACGAGTAGAGTGCCTTAATCAGTGCAATATATTTTCTCGGAATTCCCTTTACAGCCAAGCATCTCCAGAGAACTTCCCGATCGACAGAGTCGAATGCTGCCTTTAGGTCAAGAAATATAATGACTGTTGGACGCCGGTAGGAATGCCTATGTTCTAGAATCTGTCGGAGGGTGAAGATATGATCAATACACCCTCTTCCTGGTCTAAAGCCTGCCTGGCTCTCTCGTGTTTGTGCTTCCCGAGCACCACTCAGTCTACGCATGATTATTGAGCCTAAGACTTTAGATACTATATTAGTCAAGCTAATCCCTCTGTGATTATCACAGGAAGACTTGTCTCCCTTCTTGTATATGGGGATAATCAGTGACTTACACCAACCCGATGGGACTTCTTCTGATTCCCAGACGCTGCCTAGTACCTCAGTTAATCCGGACAGTAAGCTGTCTCCACCGTACTTAAATACCTCTGGAGTCATTCCATCAGGTCCCGCTGCTTTGCCTAGTTTCAGATTGGTGACAGCTTTAGTAACCTCAGTTAGGGACGGAGGACCTGTGTCTATATCCCATTCAGGGAGGTGTTGGATGCTCGGAAGGTTGAGCGTGGCTGTGGGCAAATTAAACTGCTCCTCATAATGCTCTTTCCAACGATCCAGTCGTCTATCCTGGGAGCTAATTATAGTGCCATTTTTTTCCGAGATTGTCTCACTAATGATTTGTCTTCTCCCACCCGTTTCCCTGATGAGTCTAAAGAGTTGCCTGGTGTTGCCTATCCTCGAAGCTTTCTCCATCTCTTTGGCTTTTGTCGCCCACCACTGTTCACGGTCCTTGCGGAGACTTTTCGTAAGTTTCCTCTTGTGCAGCTTTCGCTCCTCATTGAATTCGGAGCTCGCCGGAATAAGTCTTCTAGCATCTATCAGTTCGGATGAGGCGGTGGAGATCCAGTGGTTTTTACTCACCTTTGGGTTTACCTTATTCACAGCTTTTACAGCTGTATCTATGGCTGCCTGGATATTTTTCCAAGCTTCTTCAGGGTGAGCACAGCTGTCGAACACAGATATGTGTTTAGCTAGTTCTTCCTCAAATACGGATTTAGTTTCCTGATCGAGCTGGGGACGTGATGGTTTTACCGCCAGCTGTTTCCTACGTCCGTTCAGTCGTAAGCACACCCGAGCGCGGACCAGTGCATGGTCGGTATCTACGCACGTGTTCCAGAAGGAGCGACAATCTCCTACCGACCCACGCCAACGATAGCTTATTGCTATGTGGTCTATTTGTGTCCAGCGTTGGTTTGATGAAGGGGGTCTCCAAGTCAAACAGTGTCTCTCCTTGTGTTTGAAGTTAGTGCTTACAAGAAACAAATGATTATCAGAGCAGAACTGTAGGAGACGGTCACCGTTGTCGGTTCGCTGGCACGGAACTCCATAGGTGCCACCGACATCCTTCTCAGATTGACACAATTTCCCTACTTGAGCGTTAAAGTCACCAGCTAGAACGACTATGTCTGAGCGTTTAGCCTTTCGCACCAAACTAGACAGCTTTTGGTAGAACTCATCCTTCGTTTCATCTGAACTGCAGTCAGTGGGGGCGTAGGCGGAGATTACGAAAAGGCATCGGCGAGTAGTGCAGTCCTTCCTCCTTCTTACTGATCCGTTCAGGCGGACAGCACACATTCGGCTATCTACCGGGATCCAGTCAAGCAATGTCTTTTCTGCCCTAGTACTCAAAGCTATCCCTACGCCAGCTAATCCTCGTGAACTAGCTGTGGCATCTCCTGACACCCTCAAGGTGAATTTTGCAGATTCAACCTGTTGGCCAGGTGGGGTTAGGTGAATAACCACACTTGGGTCTTGTATGCGTGTTTCTGAAACACAGCATACATCAATGGCTCGTGATGCCAGGGTCTTGGCTAGTGATGCTTGTTGTCCTATTTGGCAAAGTGTCCTAACATTAAGAGCTCCTATATGAAATTGGTGGCGCGGCTTTAAGAGGCTGTCGGTGGTGGTTTTTTGGCTTCCATCGTTTTTAGTGGACGCAGAGTGGAGAGGAAGTGGAGAGCTATCAAGTCGAGGAGTTGCATCAGTGGAAGGAAGGCAAGATGATAGAGATGAAGATGAAGACAAAGATGAGTGAGTAATAGAGAGGTTTCGCGTGCATTTCGGATTGTGAGGGCGATTGTTACTTCCCGGCTGCCCACACCGTGGAAGTTGGTTGCGTGACCGCAGAGCCCAGGGGACAACTGCTTGAGGCCGGTCACACGCGGCCTGTTTTTGTTCGTTCTTTTTGTTTGGTGTGTCTCAGTAGCATATTTATCACTCCTGCCCTGTGACACGGCAGCAGGAAGCGCGGTCGTTGTTAATCCGGGCCACGGCCGATCCGGCATGAAATTTTGTGATTTTGTATTGGACATGATGTTGGATTGGGTAGCTGCTTTTTGTTTAACCGCTATCCAAACAACCTGCCTGGCATGGTAGACCTCAAGAGACATAAGTCTCAGCCAGTATAGCTTGATTAGGTCATTGCGGTGTTCAAGCCCGACCACCACGTCAAGGTAGCAGCTTTCTGTCAACTACATAGGTCCAACTAGTACATCACGAGTAGTGAAACTATCAGAACATAAGAATTCGGCTAAACTTAGAATGATTGATCCCACGAAGATAAGCAATTTAGAAAAAAACTCAGCTATAGCACTGCATGCATTAACACACAACCGCACAACAAGGTGGAACACAGTCAAAATTCTAAAGAGTAATATAGGTAAGTGGATGGAGAGAGAGATTGATTATTGAGTCCTTGTTCATCGAGTCTGCACCCAACACATGCGACAGAAGTGACTCAATGTAAATACCAGAAATATGAAGATATTATTACCACCAGTCAAATCAGAGGAGGATAGTAAATAATCTCAACATTCTATTCCAATTCACGTACATTATAACATTCTAACAAATTACTTATTTTGACTGAAAAACATCTTCTTTCCGATCCTATTGTGTTTTATTGATAACACTAGTATTATTATTTCTGAACGTACTTTATCTGATATTGATTTTATTCAAATGTTTGTATCAAACAAAACGTTGTGTGAGTGACTTGATATAATTATGAACAACAATTTGTGCTCGAAATGTAGTCATCAGTAAATATTACTGTTTAACACTGTGTGATTTGTTTATACGAGTTTGACCACAGATTGATATCAGTTAGAGAACCATTGAAAACCAGCTGTCCAACACTCCCTGGTTGATTGTAGTGATAACTAGAGGAAAAACAGCAAATGTACTGATTTAGTATGCTCTTCCCATCATGTTCAAGTACACCCATGTTAGTGTCTGTGACATCGAAACATGAAGTTTTCAGAGCTATTCCTCAAAAACTTTAAACACTAATGATGAGAAACACGTCGCTGTTTTGTTGCACCAAAAACCAACGCCTGCTACAAGGATTTCGACATTAGAAATAAAATAAATGGTGCAACTTTTGACCTTAAGGGGAATTATTATTATGATTTCAGAAAATGCCGTAAAAATGAGACAATGTAACAAGTTTGATATGAATAGTCATCATTTAAGTATGTATAAGGAAGTGTTACTTGTAAGCAGAACCATCACAAACTCCTAGATACTGTAAATAAAGATTATTTAAAATGCTACCCATATATCTATAATGAAGTTTCATTTACCTTTCGTAACAGTATCTGTTCTGAAGCATTCGAGTTAATTCTGACCGTTAAACAAACACAAACAGACGTGTGAGTATGCGTCCAAATAAATGGATTTGAAACAGAAACCACTTCACCCACTTGTAATATCTGAAAACGAAATAATAATAATAATAGTAAGCTAAGAGTAAGGTATGAAAAGTTTATATATTTAAGAAATGTTACATGAATATTTGAAAGAAATTAAATATATTTTTAAAGTGAAGACGAAACTCAACAGCTAAATCATTTAATCATGTCAGTTTCAAGGTGGCACAGAGGTAGAGTGCTTGCCGACAGCACATGTTGTTTGGGGTTCGATCCTCGACCGACAAGGCACTCCTTTACATCACTAAGCCAGTAATAAGACTGGTAACGAGGGAAGGTTGGAGATGAGGCTAGCAACCCCATCCCGTAAAAACAGACACCACTGCTACCGGAACTCCAAGCCTCTAGCTTGAAACCCTATGTTCCACTTGGGAACGTAGAGGAATAAAAAAGGTTTCAAGGTGTATTTGAAATCTAACATTGCCCAGTTAAAAACAGAGACAGCAGTACAGTTTTCGTTTCTAGGGTTTTTCCTACAGTGTAATACAAATAATCGGTTGAAAATTTACGAGTTGAAAATGCTACACTAAATCTCAATGCACAAAAAACTATCAGAAATGAATTAGAAATTCATACGTTTATCAAGATGAAACAAGTGTACTGATAATATGTTTATAACTTAAGAAGGAGATCGCTCAGCAGATATATATATAGGAGAAAATGGAAATGGGTAGGGTACACGTTGAGGAGGCTATCGAATGACATTGCATGCAATGCAGGCCATTGCTCGAGTGGGATCCCAATGAGAAGCGAAGAGTGGGTCGTCGGTGCGACGGTGACATGGAGGAGATCGTGCGAGGAGGAGACAGTGAGAGATTATAGACAATTTTGTGGCTAGCCAACTGAGGAGGACAGAAGAACAATCAGAACCCAAGGGAATAATAGTACTAATAATTTAAGAAAGGAAACCACTTGGTTACCCATATCAAACTAGGGTAGAATTTAAACTAACAACAAATATATCGGTTGAAATTCAAACTTCGACGAGGAATCAACCACTGAATGTTAAAAATACCGCATAATCATTCATGAAGTAATTTGGTAGATGCTGACTAGCAGTCGAATCCAGGATGTACATTTCGTCCTGTTTGGCGCCATTCATCATCTAGATGTACCCACATTCTCCTGTCAGTGATGGTGTTCCCATCCCACTGAGACTCGAACAAACAGGTAATAACTGGTGCCTGTTGAAAAAGAAGTGGCTCTCACGGCCCAAAGTGGTCTAGTGGATAACGCTTCTGGATTCGAAACGCATTGTTGGAACAACATCATTCACTAGGACCACAGGCACATCCAGATGACGAATCCCAAACAGGAAGAAGTGCGCACCCTGGATTCTACTGCTAGGCACCATTTACCAAAAATACTTCAAGTTAATCCTCAGGCATCTTTGAAGCGTGCGTAATAGGCGCTAAGATGTCAACAAAGGCCGAACATTTCGGTTCAACCAACCAACCAACTGACTTACAATAAAATATTTCCTAAACACGCTTAACTCACTAGTAAGCGTAAAAAAAAACAGAAGAAACCACTATGACCTCTTCTCTTCCCCGACGCAAAACACATTAAAAATTTTAGAAAAAAAACAACAGAGAAGGAATACTAAGAAGAAACTAACCTTTTTAACCAGCAACTGAGAGTGGAAATTATCTGGTACTTTTAAGGTAAGCAGACCAAGAGTGTCATTCAACAATGGCATAGCTGAATAACCAATTACACATGCAATAAACATTGAACAAATTGGATCAGCTATATTCCAACCATAGCTGGATACAAGAAATGAACTGAATATTACACTGACACTACCCAAAGTGTCAGCAAGAACGTGTAAATAGACGCCTATAGAAGAGAAAAACAAGTTTTTTTATTTTTATTTTTAAGAGTACAAATACAACAAGACTGTATTCAATGGTAAATAAAAATTATGCATGGAATTTAATCACAAGAAAGATAAACCTTATGACAATAATAAATGATACATTTCAGTGTTAACTGCTACGTAAGTTGTTGGTCAGATTAAAGCAAAAAAGTGAGGCAGACATTTTAATCATTCCATTCTTTTATCTTTTAATTCCTTGGAGTTCCGAGTGGGACATTAGGTTTCAGGCTTGAAGCTGTGGTGTTGTTACTTGATGGAGCGAGAGGCTGCTAGCCTCATGTTTAACCTTCCTTCCTTTCCGAACTTACTATCAACTAGTTAATCGGATGAGGTTTAGGAGTGCGTCGGCCGGGAATCGAAGCCTGGACCACCTGTGTACTTTGCGAGCATTCTACCTCCGAACCACCGATGTCTGTTTTCGACATAGAACTTTGCACCGATGTGCGGCAGTTCAAATCGCCATACTCCATGTAGCACACAAAGCAAGAGAAGAAAGTAGAGGAAATGCATAATAGAGATAGTAAACAGAGGTGTGAGACAAAAGAATAGTAATGATGAGGAAGAATATAGTTTCATTGGAAATCATAAATCAGAAGGAGTGGATGCATCTTCGCTAGTTATTGAGAATGATTTTGAATCATATCACCAATAGTTTCCAGCCAATGGTTTTTACCGTCCCGAAAACCCCAACCAGGAAGTCTACACCTTCCTACGTGGCTAGCTTAAACTAACTGTTGTGGATTTCATTGACTGGTGGTATGTTTTGGTTTGACCCCCGATAGCTCTTTTCCAGCTTGACCCTATGTCAGCTAACATTGCCCATCGAGGAAGGCGATGACTAGGCATACGTAACACATACATAACACCGATAGCTGTTACCTTGACGTGGTGGTCGGGCTCGCACATCGCGATGACCCAACAAGCTAAACTGGCTGTAACCAATGTTCCTGCAGGTCATACCATACCAGGAAGATTGTTAGGATAGCGATTAGACTTAGTTTGGGGGCGAAGTCGTACTGCTGGGGAACAGGGGTGTAACAGCAGCAAGGTATTCCCTCAGATGACCAGCATGTCAGCTATGCTGTCTCTCCACTCCAGAAAGAGGGGGTTAGAAAAGGTCAACCCCAAAAATTGTACATCCCGATTTACCCTACGGTGGCCCGTAACCGGCGGTAAGTTTGCTAATACGGAACCAAACCAAGAAATCATTTCAGACAGGCCGTGTGTGACGGGCCTCAAGCAGCTGTCCCCTGGGCTTTGCGGTCACGCAACCGGAAGAATCAATCAACTTCCACGGTGTGGGCGGCCGAGAAGTAACAACCGCCCACACACTTCCAAAAGCCTAGGAACCATCGATGTACATTCATTCCACTATCAGAATAAAACTCCGAAGACCATTATTAGTTTATTTTAAGTTACTAAGGTTAAAATGCAGGTTTAGCATGCAACTTAGAAACACTACATGCATACAATTCATTAGATTACAGTTAGTCAGTTGACAGAAAGATGCCATTAATAGTGTAGTATATGACTCAAATGTACACAGACCACATTTGCCAAGCTTGAAAACAGCACTTTAGGAAAAAATACAGACAACAACAAAAATGAAATTAGTAACAGAAGGAATGAAAGACAGAAAATATTTCAAAAACTGAGGGATTCATTATAAGAAAAGGTATAGATCCCGTTACATATTCCAGCAAATATACTACAAACTATTTCATTTCTTTTGAATGCCCTAGCAAACAGATAAACTTTGTCTTTTTACGAAACTGATACTGCTGAGTTGCAATACAGAAAGGCGGTAACTTGGCATGCACAACAATCGACACAAGTTCCACAATTTCACTTGATTAACTCCCTTACCTAGCACTCACTACCCTACGCCTAACTTTATTATTGCTCATTAAATTATACCGTTTAACAGGGGAGATAGGATGCGAACATCTATGATCAAAGACAGCTAGCCTCTTCATATAGCCGACTTTCAGTGGCCGTGTCTTACAACCATAAAGAAGGACAGAGCGAATTACTGCGCAGTACACACGTTCTTTAATCGGCTGTCGGATATCACGTCTTCGCTAGAGATGATATAATTCGGCAAATGTCAAACGAGTTATTTGGATCCGTGCTGTAATTTCGTCAGAAATCAATGTAGCACTACACTGCCTATCTTTAAACTAGGCGTCGGTTCAGACGAGTCCTACAGTCAGTTAAACAGTCAACAATTTTGATGTCATCCCATTGTAGAATTACATATTCAATAATTCTGGTTTGAAATGTTTTCTACATGAGAGAAAGAAGACATTTCTTATTTGAATTCTCACATAAACACCACAAGAATGAATGGATTCCACTGATATCAAAAACCATGCTGGCAACTTCCTGTTAAGTCACAAAGGAGAGTAGATGAGCAGTCAAAGTTGTCCTTCAGCCATGTCATTCTAAAGGTATACAATCTCAAATACTTATTATGCATTCTCATAACAAAGAAAGAAATATTCTCAAAGATTTATCATTAAAATGTTGAGTTTTCGATAAAAACTGAAACATTCCAGATTACGTAAACCAGAAACAACAGTCAGACAGATGAGAATAAAATAAAGCAAAGTTAATTAATTAATTAAACTGAGTGAAGCAACATAATTGACAGAACTGAGCAGAGTCAAGCTACTAACATTACTGTCACATAAGACGTAGAAGTGTAATGGTGATGAGAGAGTTGCGCTTCAAATGCTTAGACAAAAAAACCATGCTACTCATTCAGTCAAGTTGAGCAAGTAAGCTAACATCATTCACATAGAGTATGGATAGCATAAAAGACTGACTGATTGGTTTCAAAAAAGAACTTTGCACAGAAGTGCGGCAGTTCAACTTGCCACACTCCATGTAGTACATAAAAGCAGACAAAAGAAAGAAGGTAGGAGATTCAAAACAACGGTATAACCAGAATATGAGGGAGAAAGAACAATAACACGGGAAAGCAATAGGAGGTCACACAGAGTGAATGCACCTGTGCCATTTATTTGGATTTTGAGCCATATCACCAATCGCCTCCAGCCTTTATTGGTTCTGAGTATCTTGAGGACCCTAACCAGGCCATATACACCTCCCTATGTGACTCAGACTGACTGCTAAGGATTTCATGAACCGATTCCAAGTTTTAGTTTGACAACCACTAGCACCTTTCCAGCCTGATCCTATGTCAGCTAACACTAACCGTCGGTTGAGGAAGGCGATGGTTTGGTATGCGCAACATGTGTCCTGCCTATCTCAATCGATTCACGTTTGCAACCTCGTCAGTTAACTATCCCTCCTTACCTAACACACTCAACACCTAGCCTCAATACTTCTCACCCTATTATACCATCTAATACAAGAGATAGAACGCAGACATCTATGATCAAATTCAACGACATTAGAAGAAAAACTCTGCTTTTATACACATCGTATCACCAGTGAATAATGACCAACGAGTGATGAAGTGAAGAATACCCATCAACCTTAAATATCAAACAGTTGCTGTATAGATGGTAATATATCACGTTATGGGAATTCAGAAGTCATATTTCCACTTAGTAGATTGTCTTTTAAAAAAAGTGGTAAATCAAGTATTGGTTTGTAGGGATTTGGTTGATTGATTACAGGATTTCATCATCAGCTGACATTGGAAAACCAGCTGGGAGTACTGAACAGCTGTTCCGTCCTAGTTTGGGACTCTTCATCAGTACACACCCACACCACGGGATTCGAACCAGGACCTTCTCGTTACAAGGCGAGCTCATAGACCATTAAGCCACTGGACCCAATCCAATGGCCAGCCCATGAATTCTAACTTCTGTCAATTCACGACATAGAGCAACCGCTAGTCAATGTCTTCGGCGAGTATTTGTCCTCACACCCGACCTGCTGCATTCTACTGATCACGACTTCCCACTGGAACCCCATGTAACTACCCATGTGAATAGGGCCAGTCGCCAGCGAGCATCTCATTGATATTCAAATATTGGTTTGTAGGGATTTGGTTGATTGATTATTGAACATTTATTTATTTAAACGCATAAAAAAACTTGGTACAATATGGCACCAAGAAAGATGCGCCACACAATAATAATAAAACAACATAGATCAAAAGAAAAAAAAGGAAGGAAAAGAAAAATATATATATATAAGTAGAGAACGGATAAAGAACTTCATCTGGAAGGAAAACAGTCATGCTTAACAAGTTCAAACAGTGTTCGTTAACTATCATCGGGAAGGGAAGAAAGAAGGAAATCGCAACACATTCGCCATTGATTACGATTCTTGGCCATATCCGATAACGTTTCGAGCCATCGATTTGAGCTATCTCTCGGACCCCAACCAGGGAGTCGTGACACACCAACCGATGCTAATCTAGCACAAAAATCCTTCATCCCACGACGCCACGTCATGGACTGACCACCTCTCCGCCTTTTCCATCCCGTCCCAGGGCTAGCGAACAGAGACCTGTACGGAAGCCTCTGGGGTGACATTCTCAGCACATGTCCAAGCCACCGGAGCCGGTGTTTCCAGATGACGACATTCAATGAATGGTGATCTCCACTGTGTTCAAACACACGCCGCCGAACCTCAGAATTACTCACGCGATGATGCCATCGAACGCAAGCAATCCTGCGGAGACAGCGGTGATCGAACACGCAGAGTCGCCGCACATCCTCAGCTCGGAGAGGCCAGGTTTCACAGGCGTAGAGCAGCGAAGCCCGCACCGAAGCATTGTATACCCGACCTTTGACAGCCAGGCTAACGTCGCGACGGCGCCAGAGGTGGCTCAAGTTGATGTATGCCACCCTAGCCTTCATTATACGGTTGGAAATCTCATCCGTCACCCCTCCGCCAGCACTCACACAACTACCCAGGTACACAAACTTATCAACAACTTCAAGCGGTTCACCCGCAAGAGTGAGTGCAGGTACAGGCTCCTGCCAATCTTGTAACAGTACTTTGCACTTAGACGGCGCAAAGCACATACCATACTTACAGACACTGATCGCCAACTGATTAAGTGCGATTTGGGCAGCCTGCATGCTATCGCACAGTAAGACGATATCGTCTGCATACTCGAGGTCGAAAAGTCTATCTCCAGGTAGCAGATCTACACCACCTTCACGCACATCCTTCAGAGCTGACTCCAGAATGTCATCGATGGCAAAGTTAAAGAGAAATGGAGAGATTGGGCAACCCTGTCTAACCCCACTGTTGGTTGGGAACAGTGGTGATAGTTGGTTGTATGCCCTCACTCTACCTGAGGTGTTTCTGTATAGGGCTTTCATGATGTTAACAAATTTCTCAGGTACACCTCTCTCTAACAGACAGTTCCAGAGCACAGTTCTGTCCAACGAATCGAAGGCAGCCCTAATATCAAGAAACACAACGATCGTTGGCCTGCAATACGTGTGGCGGTGTTCCAACAACTGACGAAGGGTGAACACATGATCAATGCATCCACGACCTGAACGAAACCCAGCCTGCTCTTCGCGAATCAATCCTTCACGTATTTTGCACAGTCTGCGAAGCAAGACAGCAGCCAATATTTTAGACGCGACTGGTAACAGACTGATACCCCTATGATTGTCACACGAATTACGTCGACCCTTTTTAAAGATGGGGACGATAATGGCTTCGTTCCACATTGATGGTACACTCTCTGTCTCCCACACCTTCCTGAACAACCCAGTTAGAGCCATTGTGAGAGTCTCGCCACCATCTTTAAAAAGAGCCGGGGGTAATTTGTCTGGGCCGGGCGCCTTATGGCGTTTCAGAACTTGGAGTTCCTTACGGACCTCCGCTTCGGTGGGTGGGTCGGTACTAACCGACCAAGGAGCACTCGGGCTAATGATAGTAGACACTGAAGCTGGTGGCCAGCTGAACTGCTTCCCGAAGTGCTCTGCCCAGCGTTCCAGGCGTCTTTTCAGGCTGGTAATTGGAGTGCCATCTGCCTCACAGACCGTCTCGCTGACACCTTGTTTCTTGCTGCCGGTGGCTCGTATGAGTTGGAACAGCTTCCGACTGTTGCCAGATGCAGCAGCTGACTCCATCTCACACGCACGTTCTGACCACCAGGCTTCGCGGTCCTTACGTAAACACTGTCTAATCTTGCGCGTGAGCGCCTTTCGCTGATTGTTGTATTCGCTGCCAGCCGGAATGGACCGGCGTTCATCCATGAGTTGCAAGGAACTCGCAGAAACCCAGTGGTTGTTAGCGGAGCATTCTTTCAAGCCGCAAGCGGCTACACTCGCCTTTTGCATGGCACCTTGCACATGAAGCCAATGTTCATCTATACTACTTGGGGGGTTGCTGGCAAGCATTGTTTTTAACTCATTCTGATATTTCAAAGAAGTAGCAGGTGCTACTAGTTTGCTCACATCAACGCTTAGACGACGGCTTTTACGAACCCCACCAAATCGCAAGACGAACTTGGCACACACTAACGCATGATCGGAGTCCAGGCATGTGCTCCAGAAGGAGCGACAGTCTTGTATGCATCCTCGCCACCGGAAACTGACCGCGATATGATCAATCTGAGTCCAAGCTTGCTTCGCAGAGGGAGGACGCCAGGTAGCGCTACGGCGATGGCTGTGCCGGAAGTTGGTGCTGGCTAGAAATAGGTTGTGATCCGCGCAAAGCTGCAGAAGACGGTCCCCATTATCTGACCTGCGACCATGTAGTCCCCACTGACCACCTAGACGATTCTCCTCTGAGCTTAGACGCCCGACCTGTGCATTCAAGTCCCCAGCCAGCACTACGATATCCCTCCGACCCGCCTGTTTCAAGAGATCGCTCAGTTGGTAGTAAAACTCATCCTTCATTGCATCCGGGCTGCAATCCGTCGGTGCATAGGCAGAGACAACAAATAGACACCGCCTATCTGGCCTACTACTCCTTACTTTCGTATAACCTTCCAGCCTCACAGCACATAAACGACTGTTAATGGGAATCCAGTCGAGCAGTGCAGCTTATTGAACAAGGGAATGATAACAGCAGCTCCAAAGTATTGACTAGCAGTTCCACTGAACAAAACGTTTTCTGATTAGTTGTAACACTAACTAGTAAATAGTTTTAAACTGTCACAGATACTGATACTTTTGTGGTGAGAGCAGGCTGCTAGCCAATTGGTAGGCATTAATTTACGTCGATGTCTAGGTCACTAATATTGGCCGTGAGAAAATATGAACAAGACTGATTCAACAACCAATCACAGCAGACTTAACGTGAGAAAATACGATTCGCAGATATATGGCTTAACTTAATGAGTAACCAGTCACAAGCAGTACAGAATAACCTTGACCAAGAAACAACCAATCAGAAAACTGTTTGTCTGCTTGAACAAGCTATAATAATGTACATGAAATATATATAAATACGTGCTGATTTCCGTAATAAAACGATCTGTTGCCTGGCCCTTGTCTTCTGTTGTTACACCATTATTAAAACGCAGACTTGATACAGTATGTGCATTAACACATGCACTACTCGAAAGTAATAACACGATATAAGCAAAATAGAGACAGAATAAACAAGGGACAGACAGCATTAAGAAAACAAGTAGGCACATCTATCAAGAGCATTCAAAGGAAACGTCTCATTCCTTCATGTTACTTTCAGAAACAGAAAAAAAGAGAAAAGGAGTTGCAGTATGTTCGCCATTTATTACGATTCTCAGACATATCTGATAACGTCTCTAACCACTGGTTCAAACCATCTCTCGGATCCCATCCAAGGAATCACAGTGCTACATTAACAGATGATAACCTAGTATAATTACCCTTCATCCTATTATAACACATAATAGGCCGACCACTCCCTCTGCCGCCACTTTCTTTTACGTAGTCCCAGGACTAGTAAACAGTGAAATGTATACGAACTGCTGTGGGATGACATTTGCAGTGCATGCCAAGGCCACCGAAGTCATGGAACAATCATCAATAAAGAACTGTTTTTGATTACAGCTTGACTCCACACCGTATTTTCGGTACAGGTATAGAATTTTCAGCATGTGATATCGGCAGCCCAAATTTTCAGCAGGCCGACCATCGATATAAGGTGTGCGTCAGTAGGGGATTAGACTCCAGACCACGTACATGGTCATCGAGAGTCCTAACCGCCGTGCCACCGACGCACATTATTCAGCAACTTGATCTCTTTTTATTTTCTTATTTTTATATGCAAACTGTTTTATATTTTATTTTTACCACGTTTTCTGATTTTTCTTTACTTTCGTCAATTGTCCATTATTGTTTGTAATCTCAGTCTATCGGTATTGTTTCGAGTTGTGAGCCAACTGTCTTCTGACTATTGGTCTCTAGTGCAATATTGAACACGACTATTTTAAAACCAAGTATCACGTCCAAAATTACCACCTACAACGTTCACACACTGAGGCAACTGTCTCAAAAACTCTACCTTAACAAAAACAATATTCGGTAAAGTTTATGGGTTAAAAAGTTATTGAGGTATTGAGCAAATCTAACTTAGACACCTTCAACTCTGCATGTCAATACTGCATTAAAATATTTCCGCGAGAAAGAAGTCAGCTGATATTGGGCCTAATGGTGAACCCATGGCTGTTCCATCTACTTATCGACAGTATGAATTATTGAAGACAAAGTGAACATTCATTGTGCATTTGAGAAGTAATTCTTTGAGGCTACACAAGGGGATTGCTAAGTCCAATTGGCTTTCGGTGATTTCTTGACAAATATAATCTACTGCTTCCACAAGCAGTACATTAGTGAATAGTGATGATGCGTCCACAGAGATAGAGCGCAGGCACCTATGATCAAAGACAGCTAATCTTTTAATGTCTTCCACAATCAATGGCCAGGTCTCACATCCATAAAGGAGGACGGGGCGGACTGCTGAGCAGTACACCCGCTCTTTGATCGATAGTCGGATATCACGTCTACTAAGTCAGAGACGGCGTAAACTGGCATATGCAAAACTAGCCCTCTGTATCCGTGCTGAGATTTCGTCAGAGATCAACCCGTTGGCACTGGCTGATGGTACCTCCCAAATAAGTGAAGCGGTCAACGTGCTCCACCACTTCACTCCCTATCACTAAGATAGGAGTTGACCTAGTCCAGTCCTGTAACATCATCTTACATTTGGCGGGAGCGAATCGCATCCCAAACATTCGTAGATTGCAGCTCAAGGTGTTCAGAAGACTCTGCATTTTGTCAGCGTCCTCGCCTAGAAGGACCATATCGTCTGCATATTCTAAGCCAACGAGATTATTCCCTGGTAACAAGTGAATCCCTGAGTCTCTGAAGTGAGTTAGGGTTAAGTCCATTAGTACATCTATGATGAAATCGAAAAGAAATGGGGATAATGGGCATCCCTGACCGACACCACTAGTCGCCACCACTTCAGATGACAACTCGCCAAGACTAATGTGAGGTATAAACGCACGTTATCCATGGATGTATCATCACTATTCACTAATGTACCGCTTGTGGAAACAGTAGATTGTCAAGAAGTCATCGAGAAGACGATTGCACTTAGGAATCCCCTTGTGTAGCCTCAAAGAGTTGCTAAAATATTTGTTTTATTTTCCTATTTAAAATTTCAACAAAAACTGGAGAAATTTAGTTTAAATAATACGTCATATAAATATTTTTTGCATAAACAACACACCTCGTAAATTTGCATCTTCTGATTCAGCTTTGTGTGATCCTTGTTGGTGTTCATGTCCATGAGTATGACCATAATGAAGTTCTTCATCACAAACATCAACAACAAGCTCATGATCAGAATGAGATTTGTTTGAATCATGACTATGACTTCGTTCCTGTTTATGATGATGATGATGACTGTGTCCATGAGAACCACCATCATGACTGTGACCATGAGAGCCACTTTCATGGCTATGACCATGAGATTTACCTGCATGACTGTGACCATGTGAACCACATCCACCATGACTATGACCATGAGAGCCACCTCCACCATGACTATGGCCATGAGAACCACCACCATGACTGTGAGCATGACCCAAAGCAACGACTCCAACTATATTAACACATAAACCTAAAATGGATACAGCCTGAAAAGGAAAAGAAACACAAACAATCATGATAACTTTTAAATTTGTAGATGACAACCATTTCAAATATTGGAATACCAACAACATATTTGAAGGAATATTACTACTGAGATAGCACTCTGAACGTCCAAATTCACTTTCAACAACACCATCTACAGTCAAAAAGATGGTATTACAATGGGATCTCCGCTGAGTCCGCTACTATCAGACTGCTTCGTGGCAAGCCTTGAGAAAGGTCCACTAAAGCCAAGCATTGACAATTTACGACTGTTTAAAAGATACGTAGACGGCATATTCATTACTTGTGGCACCAACAATGACCCCAATCTACTGCTGAAGACATTTAATTGTTGCCATCCAGTAATTAAATTCATTCTTGAAATGGAAAACGAGTCAAAAATTCCGTTTTTATGATGTGGAACTAACAAAAAGAACTGATAGGAGCCTAAGAAGATCAATCCATAGAAAACCTACGTGGAATGGTCAACTAACAAGCTTCTATAGCTGGGTGCCCATTCAACAAAAGCGAAATTTAATTAAATCATTTGCCACCCGCATCCGACGCCTCTGTACTCCCGACGTTCTGGAAACAGAATTAGATATTCTAAGAGAAATATTCATCCAAAATGGATACCCAATAAGATTTATCGACAAATATATGAAACCAATAGTTCGGAAAAACGAAATTCTAACTGCGCCTAAAAAGAAACTCTACATGAACTTGGATTTCAAGGGAGATTTAGCAAGTGATATTCTCAAGAGAAGGATCACATCATCTCTGAGAAGAACATTCTTTGCAGCAACGCTAAGAATAGTGTTCTCCAGTAGCCCACTGATCTGTAGAAGCCTCAAGGACAAGATCCCGCATCTGACCACTTCCGTGTGCATATATCAGTTCACCTGCTGCTGTGGAGCCAGGTACATCGGTCGTTCGACGCATACCCTGTCTAAGAGGATTCAAGAACACTATCCAGCATGGTTGCGAAAAGGCAATAGTGGTGCAATAAGGAGTGCGATAATTGAACACCTGGTTAACACTGATCATTCCGTCTCAACAAATGCCTCCTGTTTCAAAGTAATGGACAGAGTCAAGAATAACCTATCAAAGGCAAACGGTTTCGTTTTCTTTGTATCGCTCAAGTTCTAGCCATTCACATAGAAAAACCGGAGCTGTGCATACAAAAGAGAATTACTCAACCATTTTTACTGTCATGGCAACAACTTTGTTGATTTTGATGACTTAATTTGGTTTGTTTTCCTGTTCTTTAATTGCTTATAATTCTTGGATTCACTTAGAACTCTTACGTAATTTCGTATTATCTACTTTGTTTCTATGTGCATCCTGAGTAAAACTCATCAAACTATTCATATTATTACTACATTTTTTAACAACTGTTTGTGACAACTCATCACCGTTGTTACTACCCTAATTTCATTAACATCTAATTTTCTTGACTGATTTTGTATTATGTAACTCCAATTACCAATCTTCACCTGTTTAGCTAAAATAATCATAACCAATTGTGTTTTTGTTTGGCAAATTTAATGTACACACACATACAAAACAACCATATATATTTGCGATAGTACAGCTAAGAAAATGAATTCGACGAAAAGAGACTCTTCGCTGAAGTACACGTGTTTTGTTTTCATTAATGCCTGGATGAGTATTATTATTATTATTGTATCTTTAGTTCCTAGAGGAACATAGGGCTTCAGCTGCGCACCTCCATTGCCTTCTGTTTTCTGACAACTTTTTCACCCCGCTCCAGGTCTGTCCACATACTTTCATCTCCTCTTCACATGACCTCCTCCAAGTCACCCTTGAACTGACGACCAACTCGCCGCTCCCTTTCGGGTTCCACTTGAGCAGGCTTGTCTAGTGATGTCACTCGATGGTTTCCTCAGCGTATGGCCAATCCATCTCCATTTCTTCCTGCCTATTTGTTTCACAATCTGTTCCTTGTTGGTTCCCTCATTGCCAGAGATCCCTGTTCCTGATCTTTTATGGCCTGTCATCTGATCTTCAGTATTGAGCAAAGGCAGCTGTTAATGAAGGTTTGAAGTTTGTTTGAGATGTTCTTTATGACGCTCCAAGTCTCCGTTCCGTATAGTAGCAGTGACTGACTTCACATTGGAGTTGAAAATCCGGATCTTATTTTTGATGCTGAGTGCTGTTGACCTCCACACAGATTTGAGAGTAATGAATGCTTGTCTTGCTTTTCCGATTCTGGCTTTGATATCCTCTTCAGTTCCGCCTGTAGTTGAAACGATGCTTCCCATGTCGGTAGGTGAAGGAGGCTGTTTCTTTCAGGTTCCTCCCATTTATGATGATTATTGTCTGTTGTTGTTGTAGCTGTTGATGTTGACCAGGAATCTTCAACACCTCTGTTTTATCTATGTTCACTTGAAGTCCTATCTTTGATGCTTCTTCCGCCAACTTGTTGCTTTTCACATGGATGAGTATTATCCATGAATTAAATCTATTACTACACTTTTAACGCCTAATGATGTGATATTCTTAAGACTGGTGAAACTGAAGTGAACTGCTTTTTTTATTCCTTAGGCTACCCAAGCGGAACAAAGGGATCCCAGCCTAAGCAGTGGTGTTCCTAGCCTCACGCCCAACCTTCCCTCTTTGCTGGGTTTACACTAACGGCTAAGTGAGGTTTACAAGTACGTCGTCCGGGGGTCGAACCCCAAACCATGTGTATGTGGCTGGTGAATGTTTTACCGCTAAACCACCGACGCCCTTATTATTTTATCATTATTTATTTTATTCCTTCACGTTCCCAGTGGAACATAGAGCTTCAAGCCAGAACTTTGGAGTTTCGGTAGCAGTGGTGTTTATTTTTACGGATGAGGTTGCTAGCCTCATGCCTAACCTTCTCTCTTAACCACCAATCTTAGTGCTACCTGAACGAGGTAAAGGAGTGCCTTGTCAACCGGGGATCGAACCACGGATAACATGAGGCGCGGTTGGCGAGCATTCTACCGACGCCCTTAAGTGAACAGTTAGGAGATTAAGATGCTGTTATGTATTGTTCAACATTTATTCGCAGTAAGAAGTAAAAAGACACACAACAATCAGTTGCAGTCGGTCAACTCTCAGACAGTACACTAGTGTAGTCTTAATGTACATGTAAGCATACTGTATGTTTTTCTAGAACAAAACTCTTAGGATTCACAGAGTCTGAATATCACTCTACCAGTACCTCTAATCAATATTATTATTATCATCATCGCAGCATTTCAATCTAATGGCAGCTATGTCTAACTGTCCTTTCAAATCACAAATAGCACAGCTACAACAGCTGCTGATAAAAAGAAACTCATATGATTATAAGGTTTCACTTTCAAAGCAGATTATATGTGCACCACCAGATTAGTGACCTTTATGGTGTCAACGCCTTATATGATGGTCATATTTCTTATTTATACATAAGCTCAATAGCATAAATATTTTAGGACAGGATATGCATGGACACCATTCGTATTAAAGGCGTTGCCTCTGAAATACAAAAAATATATACATGCCATTTGACAAACAACTCGGATTTCATCTGCTTAAATTTAAATATGCATTAAAGCAGACGAAAATGGAGTCACACTAACAAATGATTACCGGAAAGACATGACATGAAGACTGTCTGTCTGTCTGGATTCAACATAGAAATTGGCACCGAAGTGCAGCAGTTCAAATTGCCACGTTCCAAATAGCACACAGAGGTAGACAAGAAGATGAGTGAAGAGAATCAATAGAGTTTGACAAGTATAAGAGTGAAACAGAATGGGTAGTGGTAGAAAGAAATATGAATGATTACAGAGACTGAATACATCTGCGCTGGTCATTGACAACGACTTTGAGCCATGTCACGCATTGTCTCCAGCCATTGATTCCTAGAGTCCCGAGGGCCCCAACCCGGACGGAAGTCTGCATCTCCCTACCTGACCGACTCAGTTTAACTGTCAAGGATTTCATGGATTGATGAGGCCATGTTTTTGTTTGGCCACCACTTACTCATTTCCAGCCTGCACCTATATCAGCTAGTAATGCCCGTCGGGGGAGGTGATGTTTAGGCATGCGCAGCACGTGACCTAGTCATCTCAATCTATGTAACTTTATAGCCTCGTCGATTGATTTTCCCTCTTTGCCCAACACTACGCCTAACGTCAACATTACTTAACTTATTATACCACCTAACGTGAGAAAGAGATCGCAGACATCTATGATCGAAAGCAGTCAACCTTTTCATGTCTTCAACTCGTATTGGCCATGTTTCAGAGCCATAGACAAGAATGGACGGAGCGAACTGATGAGCAATACACATGTCCCTTGGTTGATAGCCGGATGTCACGCCTACGCCAGAGATGGTGTAAGTCAGCGAAAGCAGCTCGAGGTTTTTGGATCTATGCTGGGATTTCGTCGCCAATCAGTCCGTTGGTGCTGATACAACTTCCCAAATAGGTGAAGTGGTCAACATATTCTATCACTTCACTCCCTATCACTAAGTTAGGGGTTGACGTGGTCCAGTCCTGTAGCAGCATCTTACATTTTGTAGGGGCGAATCGCATGCCAAACATACGAAGATTGCTGCTCAAGGTGTTCAGAAAACTCTGCATTTTGTCAGAATCCTCTCCTAACAGGACTATGTCATCTGCATACTCTAAGTCCATAAGACTACTCCCTGGTAACAAGTCGATTCCTAAGTCGTTACGTTCAGTTAAGGATACTTCCACTAGCATATCTATGATGATGACATGAAGACTAGAGGAACTCAATAAATAACAACCTAAGTATGATTGTGAATTACTCATTTTGAAATCTCAAAGGCTATCTGAAGGTGAAGTGTACTCCTACATGAATTTAAACGGCAACAACCATTATCATGACTGAACGTTAACGGCATAAACTATTGAGTTTAACTCCACTTTTACATAAGTTTATTTACCATTAACGTTGTTATTGAGTAGAAGCTACCGGTGCTATCCATCTAAATGCATTTATTAAACGTGTGGTTCAAACAAGCGGAAAAATGAACAAGGGGATGGACAAGTTAAAGGATAGAATAACTGAGTTTCATCATAGAACTGTGCACAGAAGTTCAAAACAACTTCAAACTGTCACACACAAAGGTAGGAAGGGAAGAAAAAGTCCAAGAGAACTACAATGAGCAGAAATATAAGAGAAATAATATTCGCATAAAACTATATACTACTGATTGATTGAGATAAGTAGTTGTATACCACCCACACAGACCAGTAGTGCTTGCCAGTTAACTTAATCGAGATAATCTAAACATCGGACGGCTGTTTCGCTTCCTTTTGGGCCTAGCTCATCAGTGGCATCAGCTCAAAGATCTGAATCAGTTCAGACCACCCGATTTCTGGTTAGCCACTAAGGCGAATTGGCGATACCGTAAGTCAAATTCATAATTTGCAATGTATACAGTTCGTGGGGTGAAATTTTCATCACACTTTCCTTTGATAACTGTAGATGACAATCAAGAAAGCAGGCACACTTGCATAAATCTGTATACTATTAGAAATAATAGCAACCCAGAAAAACACGAGAACTTAATGTATCTGGGAGATTACACACATTGGATACACTTCCGTCATTGAGGAAGGTTTTGAGTTATATCCTCAAAAGTCTCAAGACACTTGTTCTAATAAATCCAGAGGACCTCAGCTAAGCTCAAACAGTCAAATATATCATGTATTAATACTACGTTTTGGTTTGAATGCATCTATCCCTTCTCCAAACTATTTCAATGTCAGAATTTAATTGGTAAATGGTGACTAGCAGTGGAATCCACGATGCACACTTCTGTCTGTCTGTCTGTTTTCGACATAGAACTTTGCACAAATGTGCGGAGGTTCAAGTCGCCACACTCCGTGTAGCACGCGAAGCAAGAGAAGACAAAGGAGTAATAAAGAAAAACAAAACAGTTTCATTGGAGATCATAAGTCACAAGGAGTGGATACATCTGCGCCAATCACTGAGAACGATTTTGAGCCATGTCACCAATTGTTTCCAACCATAGATTTTTACCGTCCCGAGGACCCCAGCCTGGAAGTCTACACCTTCCTACGTGGCTTATACCAACTGTTGTGGATTTCATTGACTGGTGCCAAGTTTTTGTTTGACCGCCGCTAGCGCACTTCGCCCTATTTGGGAATCGGCAGTCGGATGTACCTGCATTCCTGAGTGAGTGCCCAGACATCGTCGAAGCATGTGTACAAGAAGCCGACATGTCAACATGAGACCGAGTATTTTGGTTCAACCAGTCGACGGGAAAATCTAAAATTCAATTAAATATTTCCATGTCAGCTGATATCGCTCGTCAATAAAGGTGGAGCCTTGACATGCCAGTTAAAAGACCAACTGAACTTCAGATCGCAATCAGCTGTAAACCCAAAGAGCAACGGACGACAGTATGGTGAATAATCGCGACAGTATATTCCCAGAAATCTCAGATGGCCGGATTCTTTTCAGGTAAATAAAAGGAATCCCAAAAAGATCCAATGTTTTTTTCTTAGAGTTCCTTGAAAATAATCAAGAACTAAAATTGGTATTATCTACACTCTTTTAAAGGAATCTTCACAATCAAACATCCCTGACGTTATGTTCATAGTCTTTCCTAATAACCTTTCGTCCTTAAAATTCTCTACTTAAATATAAATTATGGCATATATTTCTTGTTTCTGGTATTCTACTACCCAGGATTTTATACCCTGCCATCACTTTGAATATAAACATAGAATACATTTTCTTCCAAAGTTTGAAGAGTCCTCACCAGCAGTCGAAATGAAAAGAAATAGCGTGCAAAATCTAAGGCGATTTTATGATACAAAGAGATTGCACTGAAGCTGTACTCAAGATCGATATTCCCAGTATCCGTAATGGCAAATGAAGTCTATACAATAAAGTCAAGATCGTTTCCGCAATTCCGTCAAGTCGCTCCTGAACACTGAAGCTCTCAGAACACAAAATATGATCACTGACACAAAAATGTGACCACTCTTAAGACGTATTTCATCACAAGTTGACAACCATTACAGAACTACTGAAAAGCAAAGAGTTGCAAATTTACAATGCAAAGTAGAATCAGGTCCACAATAATTGTATTCCTTCAAGAATACTTTATGATGTAGGTACCTGACTATTCTGGTGTCGTACATACGGTCGTGGTTGCTTGTGCTCAGATGTCATAAACTGGGGAGGAATAACTGTCTACTGCTCATCGCGCCCCATAAATAATCTGGTGCGGTCAAAGGTGAGTAGATGTTAGTGCTCCTCTCAAAATGTTCCAAAGTTGGCACGTATTCATAACTCCAATTCACTGCCATTCTGCCGCCCGGCCGTTACTCACCAAAGTGAAAAAGCGAATTCGTACGTATTATGCTTACAATTGAACCGGTGAACATGCCGATCTAACTAGAGGAACTGCAGTACCCTGATTGCAAACCTATGGTGCACATGAGCTCCGGAATCCGAACGGATCGAATGGCGTATGAAGCTGTCTCGGTCACCGGAAACCATGGGAGTAAGGATCCTAACGCTTCTCCACCAACTCGTGGATCAGACGTCAAGTTAAAGATTCAGAAGGGTGGCTCTTCAAGACAACCACCTCCTCCAGGCCAGGCCTCTCAGCAGTATCCTAGCCCTCCACAAACTATGATATCTGGTATGGTGTATCTTTTAGTGTCCATAATGTACACATTTTGTGTTTTAATAATAATAATAGTGTTCATCAGCCTCTTTGGGTTCTCCAAATGATTTCAACTTGCAGTGGAAACTTCCATAAGGTTGGTGCAATCCTCGCAATCACACAAGTGTTAGGCGTCAACAAGACAAATAAGCAAATTTAAACGGTCTAAAGAAACGAAATTTCTGGAATAAAACGATTCGAGATGCTGAGATATAGAAAGACCTAAAATTATACATCTACATTCCGTAAAAATAAATATCTACAAAAGTATATCACACTCTGAAATTACCAGTAATTTATCTGTTTTAATATCTGGAGGTTGATGAATTCGTGCAACGGCATTGACAAATACGGAAGCAGATATAACTAATAAGAATAAGGCATTCACAAATCCAGAAAGAATCTCAGCACTATTGTACCTGTGTATTAGTGAATAAATAAACAAAAAATAGTTGTATAATTATTAAGAAGGATAAAATATCTTTCATATTTACTAACTTAAAGTTTAGAAAGCATAAAACAATAAGTATTTTAATTGAATTTTAGATTTTCCCGTCAATTGATTGGACCGAAGTGTTCAGTCTCAGGTTGATATGTCGGCTTCTTGTGCAGATGCTTCAACGATGTTTGGGCACCTAATTAGAATCTAATTGGTGGATGGGCACTGGTGAAAGCCTCGGTGGGAACATCATCACTCACTGAGACAGTTACATCTAGATAACGAGTCCCAAATAGGACGAAATGCGCGTCGCGGATTCCACTGTTAGTTACCATCCACCAATTAAATAAGTATTTTGTTTGAAATATCGATAGTGTATCATCAAAAACTATTACAATTAATTTTTTACCTGCTTCATCTGCAAACCATGAAAATCAGAAAAAGTCAACTAGCTTATGAACTCCGAAGCTCTGATAGGCATTTGAGACTGTGACTTAAATCACTACACTGAATTAGTATGGCATTTTCTGAATACTGGTCCATGACTGCCGATGTTTACTAAGCTATGATTTGTTAAATTCTCCTAGTCAGCTTCAACAGCGCACAATTGCGACGTATCAGAAATTGTCCAGTGAGAAAAGTCAAAACCCAAGTGACTAAGGAATCACACCGAAAGCATCTTTTTTTAGTTTTAATCCTTTGCGTTTCGAGTGGCACATAGGCTTCAAGTTTGAACTCTATAGTTTCAATAGCACTGAGAGTTAGTCTATGAGGGGTGGGGTTGCTAGCCTTACGCCTAACCTTACCTCTTTTACTTAATTGGTGAGTCGGTCGGGATTCGAACTCCGGACCATGTGCGTCGTTGGCGAGTATTCTAAAATTGGATAACCAATGCACACGCTTTGTTGACAGTCTTTCACTTTTACAGAATGACGACTAACTAAGACGCAAAGGAATAAACAAAGTCATTAAATCTATATACAAAAAACTCTTATAAAACATCGTTTTTTTTGTGAAATTATGAACTTTGAGAATGTCTGACATGTGATCTAATATTAAATTCAAGTTGATGCTTTGAAAGAGATTTGTATCGAACATTCATGAAGTCATTGATTATTGACTAGAAATACAAAACCTTATTTTCTCAATGGCACCTCCATGAAGCTAAAAACTAATGTTTGAAGACTAAGATTAAAATTACTGGAAGAAATCTCACAAGCATAAATGAATAACGCTTGTGTTGTTACCGAAATCTTAGGTATACTATAATTGTGCAGCTATTTCTTTCCAGTTCCTCTAAGTTTTATCCTTAGAAAATTTTAATATTATTGGACTTTAATAAAAATCTTCTATTGTTAGTTTTTACGAGTTGATCACGGATTGATATCAGTCAGAGAACCATTGAAAACCAGTCGGGAGTACTGGACAGCTGCTGCTTCATCTAGTTTGGAAATCATCATCAGTATGCACCCACCACCAGGGTTCTAACCCAGGACCTACCCGGTTACAAGGCAAGCTAGCTCGTATACCATTCAGCCCCTGGGACCCGATTCAGTGACCAGTGCATGAATTCTAACTTCTACCAATTCGTGATTTAGCGCGACCCCCAGCGGTTGCGTACTGCCGATGATTCCCGAACTAGGACGAAACAGCTGTCCAGTACTCCCGACTGGTTTTCAATGGTTCTCTAACTGATATCAATCCGTGATCAACTTGTAAAAATCTTCTGTGTAACACAACTTAGACTGATGTACTGTTATGCGATTTTTTTATATCATTATATCTATCTACTTTCAATTATTTGTAATTATTATTACCACGGTTTCCGAGTGGAATAAAAGGCTTCAGCAACACATCTCCACTTCCTCCTGTTTTCTGCAGTCCCTTTACCTGGCTCCACAATTATCCATAGGCTCTCATCTTGTCTTTACACAACCTTCTCCATGTTACCCTCGGACGCCCACTCATCTTTTTCTAATTCGATCCCACTGAAGGGCCTGATGGTGCGTTATCACCCAACGGTCTCCTCAGAGTATATCCGATCCTTCTTCACTTTCTTAGGGATATTTTTTGAGCAAACGATTATTGGCTGGTTCCTTCCTAGAGTTTCTTGCTGCTAATTCTTTCTGGCTAACCTTCTGATCTTTAGTAAAGAGCCAGAAAAGGCAGTTGCTGATAGTCTGCAGCTGGCTGCTGGAAATGCTTTTCTTGATGCACCAAGATTTTAACACACAAAGAGGAACTGACTGACTTAACATTGGTGTTGAAAAATCCGCATCTTGTTCTTTAGGTTGAATGAAGAGGATTTCCAAATTGATTTCAGAGTGATGAAAATCTGCCTTGTTTTTTCCAACTCTGGTTTCAACATCCTCAGTCGTTCCACTTGTCTGTGTATTTGAAACACTGCTGCCTGGATAAGTGAAAGAAATGACTTCCTTCAAATCCCTCCCCTGTTGATAGTAACTAGTTGCTGTCGGTTGGTTATCTTCATCACCTTTGTCTTCTCTCTATGTTCACTTGAAGAGTTGTCTTAGCTGCTTCTTTTGCCAACTTATTGATTTTCACCCGTAAGTCTTTGAGTTTGTGTGACATTAAACATAAGTCATCCACCCGATGTCCAAATCTTCTAGAGTCTTCTTATCGGTCTAACTCATCCCTGTCTTTTCGCTCCTTACGCACAGGCTTCCGTATAATCTTGTCCATCACAATCAGGAATACCATCGGTGACAGCAGACAACCTTATCTTATTCCTGTCTTCACTTCAAAGTCTTCTCTGAGTTTTCCGTTGTGGATTATTTGAAACGTGGCATTGTCATATATACTAATAATCTATCTACTTCCAGTTTATACTCATCAAATGCGTCGGTGGCACAGCGGTTAGGACGCTCGCCAACCATGCACATAGTCCAGGGTTCGATCCCCGGCCACGGATGCACTCCTTTACCTCACTAAGCCAGAAATAATCCTGGTAAAGGGGAAAGGCTAGGTATGAGGCTAGCAACCCCATACTGTAAAATAAACACTGCTACAGAAACTTCAAGCCACTAGCTTGAGGCCCTATGTTCCACTGGGGAACGTGAAGGGAAAAAATGTATGGGTATTTGAAAGATATCAGGCATCGAATATAAATAGTCTGCCTGAAACATAAACACAATATCATCCTGATAATAGATTGTTGGAAATAATCAACGGAAAGCTCTGGACCTAGGTTGACACTTGTCAGTAAGGCTTGTCTACCATCTTGAAGGAACTAATGTCCCAATCGGACCCGAAACCTAGGTCTAGGGCTTCCTTCCTATCGCTCCTAATCATTTAACATCATTTCAGAGTGCACTGCGACGACCAGCCATCTAGCTAGGTGACCACATGGCAAACATGACTGGCAGAATTCAATCTACATCAAGCAAAGGACTAGAAGCATGATACTACTTATTAACTAGTATTTTTTTTACAACTTTTCATAAATGAATATCAAAATGAATATCAATATAGTGCGTCGGTGGCACAGTGGTTAGGACTCTCGCCGACCATGCACATGGTCCGGGGTTCGAGCCCACGCCGGCGCACACCTGATATCTATGGTCGGCCTGCAAAATTTGGGCTACCGATATCCATGCTGAAAATTCCATACTTGTACCAAAAATACAGTGTGGAATCAAGCTGTAAATCAAAAATAAAAAAAAAATAAAAATAAAAATAAATAAAATCCAGTCCGCAATAAATTAAGCACCACTTTCAAATAAACACAAAACACATAATTTACCCATAAGAGAATATACGAGTTGGTTTCCAGTGTGATACAACAGCTGCATACAATCCTACTACAAGTGCTGCTGAATCGAATAACATATGAAAACCATCAGAAATTAAACCTAAACTGTTTGTCCATACACCATAGAAGAGTTCCACAAATGTAAAAGCCTAAAATGCAAATAAAACATAATACAAAATTCGTGAAAATTCAGTTCAAGAAATAAAAAACAAAACTGCCTTGTTTTACCTCTTCCATGTTTATTTACCAGTTTAACTGCTTGTGTAGAGCTAATCACATTGGCTGTACGATCAGACACGTTCATCATTGAATATGTCAACACCTCCCATCTTGGTTACAGGATTTCATCAGGAGTTGACATTGGTTAGAGAACCATTGGAAGACCAGCTGGGAGTACTGAACAGCTATTTCGTCCTAGTTTGGGACTCTTCATCAGTACGCACCCACACCACGGGATTCGAACGCAGGACCTTCTGGTTACAAGGCGAGCTCGTAGACCATTAAGCCACTGGGACCCGATCCAATGGTCCATGAATTTTAACTTCTGCCAATTCACGACATAGAGCAACCGCTAGTCAATGTCTTCGATGAGTATTTGTCCTCACAACCAACCTGCTGCACCCTACTAGTCACGACTTCCCACTGGAACCCCATGTAACTACCTATGTGAATAGGGCCAGTCGCCAGTGAGCATCTCATTGATATTCATTGATATATATAGCGGTTGCTCTATGTCGTGAATTGGCAGAAGTTAAAATTCATGGGCCATTGGATCGGGTTCCAGTGGCTTAATGGTCTACGAGCTCGCCTTGTAACCAGAAGGTCCTGCGTTCGAATCCCGTGGTGTGGGTGCGTAGTGATGAAGAGTCCCAAACTAGGACGAAACAGCTGTTCAGTACTCCCAGCCGGTTTTCCAATGGTTTTCTAACCAATGTCAACTCCTGATGAAATCCTGTAACCCATCAACCAAATCCCTACAAACCAATACTTGAATACCTCCCATCTTGGTTTGGTAAAAGTTCAAGTAAAGCTAGCTATACGTAGCCCAATACTAGCTCATCTCGTCGATACTGGACATTTGGTTGACTCTAACAAAGCTCTTAAGGTTATTCATTGCATTTCATCCAACCTTTTGTATGATCTACAAGTACGACTTCTACGCACAGCAGAGGCAATCAGAATTCATCTGAACAAGCCGAATATGTGTGTTCAGAAGAAATTTGTGCAGCCCTTTTCTTTGCTGTATGTAGCCAACTACATAATATGTATTAAGTTTTACAAACGATTTTCCCCTCTCCTTGTAACTATGATTATAATCTTAGCTACTTTAGTTGACCTGTTTGCATCGTGATATTCTTACGTAGTTTCACTTAGTCATTCTATTTTTCTTAGTCATCATTATTTTACAGATCTCTGGATTATGTTGTTAACTTTAAGAATTAATTACTCTTGAATTCCGTGATTATTTTCACACACACACACACACACCCGTTAAAATCAAGATATCTTGTTGCAAACATTTACTAGTTTGCTTTGTTTTAATGATTTTTATAATCTCTCATTCCCTCTCTCACACACACACCTATACCTAAAGCTGATAATTCTCAAGGACTAAAATAACCAAATGATCGGTATAATTTTGATTTGAAAACTTCATTAGCTTACGGCTGATGACGAGAAACTAATTGAAGAAAAGGAATATATTTCTTCACTCAGTTTTTTTCTAAAAGAAAATTAAAATTTAAACTGAGGTACTATAACTTTTCTGCACTACTCATTTTCAACATACTGGGCGAAAATATCGACGCGCAAAACAGCTACGGTGAAAAGTTAGAGAAGGAAGTCAAGGTGATTATCATTATATTATCAATGTTTCCTTTAATTCCTAGAGGAACATAGGGTTTCAGAGGCACGTTTCCATTGCGTTCGGTTCTCTGCCAACGTCTTCACTTGGCTCCACGTCTGCCTATATGCTTTCATCTCCTTCTCATATGACCTCCTCCATGTCACCCGTGAACGACCAACTCGCTGCTTTCCATTCGGATTCCACTCGAGAGAGAACCTGGCGTGCGATGTCACTAGATGGTTTGTTTTCTCAGAGTATGACCACTCTACCTCCATTTCTCGCTGCATATTTGTTGCACAATCGGTTCCTGGTTGGTTGGTTCGCTCCCAGAGATTCTTGGTGCTGGTCTTTTCCGGCCATCTGATATTGAGTATTGAGCGAAGACAGATGTTGACGAAGGTCTGCAGTTTGTCCGAACTCCCTTTCGTGACGCGGCGCCAAGTCTGTGATCCGTATAGTAGCACTAACTTCACATTCGAATAAAAAATCCTCATCTTACTTCTCATACTGAGTGCTGTTGACCTCCACACAGACTTGAGAGAAATGAAAGCTTGCCTTGCTTTCTAGATTCTCGCTTTGACATCCTCATGAGTTCCGTCGGCATGTAGTTGCAATGACAATGCTTCCCAAGTAGGTAGGTAGGTAGGTGAAGGAGGTTGCTTCTTTCAGATTTCTCCCATTTGTACTGATTGTTGTTGTTGCTGTAGATTTTGCTATTGGCAGGAATCTTCATCGCCTGTTTTCTCTATGCTCACTTGAAGGCCTATCTTTGATGCTTCTTCTGCCAACTTGTTGCTTTTCACTTTCTTCCGGGAATCAACGATGAGAGACTCTTTGCGATGTGATGCATAACCAGTCATATAGGTACACATCTATTCTCTCCATTACCTTCAAAATGTTGATTAATCACATTATCGCCTACTTAACTATCCCTTTTCTCTTACGCTAACATTAGTCCACCGGAGTGTCATTCTATTTGTGTTTTGTGTACAACTTTGAAGTCTTGAAGCTGAAAACTGAAGCAATCTGGTGACAGGCTCTCCACTGATATGTTTGTTGTCACACACACACAGCAGCTTGCTCAAATCACTGGGCTACTTAAATTTTCTATTCATCAAAATGTATAAGTTTTTGTTCCGTTTCAAATTGTTTAAATCTTCTAATTACCATAGTGAGGAGCAACATATACTCGTGCACAATTTCAAATAAGTTTCAAGCCTACCGCTAGGAATTTTTCGAAAGAAATGAGGCAGAACACTGCGAAGAGTAGTACCGGATCAATCTTCAGGTGGTAAAACATTGTTTAAGATGATATATTATCGATTATCATATTGTGGCGAGAGCTGGCTGAGAACAAGCCAAAATTGTAGACAACAGTTTACGTCAATGTTTACGTTCCGAATCGGGGTCATGACAAAAACAAGAGTAAAGCTTAACCGTGAGGAACTCAACAACCAATCACAGCAGACTTAACGTGTGCAAATACGATCGCAGATATATGGCTTAACTTTCTGAGAAACGGTCAGAAGTAGTACAGAATAACCTTGAGCAAGAAAATAACCAATCAGAAGACGTTGCTTCTCCGCTGACAATAATGTACATAAAAATCTATAAATATCTCTTAATTTTCTCAATAAACCAGTTGTTGCCCGGCCTTTGTATACTATCGTTACAATATCATTTGAACATTATGCATAAGGGATAAATACCTTGCTATTAAACTCCCTGAAAATTCTGTATCATATAAAAACTCATTTTTCAGAATAAAGCTATCATTACTATTTTATCTATAAAGACTTGTTGAACCAGTCAAAATTTAGTTTATTAGAATGTAACTCGCAATCTCAATGAAATCAGATTTCTTATCGAATACAAACTATCCACCTAGATGCAACTCATCAAAAAGTTGAAACAATATCGTCTTACGATAGATGCATAATTTGCTACGTTCAATCTAGAATAATTATCAAACGATGAATTGTAACTCCATGGTTAATGTTCCAATTTATATCATCAAATGAGTCCACTTGTTTATTTAAAAAAAATCACAATAAACAACCTACATCAGAATACACACATAAAGTCGAAATTGATGAAGTATCTAACAAATAAGCACATTCAGTTGATAACGGTAATAATATCTAACCTCGTGTTAACCATACAGTCCATAAGAATGCCAAATGTTAAGACAATGTCATTTTGTTTAAGTCAATTTTTCAAGTATTGGTTCTTGTAGGAATTTAGTTTGATTGGATAGAGGATTTCATCAAGAGCTGACATCAGTTAGAGAACTATTGGAAAACCTGCAAGGAATACTAGTCCTAGTTTGGGACTCTTCATCAGTGCGCACCAACACCGCGGGGTTCGAAACCAGGACCTTTTGGTTACAAGGCGAGCTCGTAGACCATTCAGCCACTGAGACCCGATCCAATGGCACATGAATTCTAACTTACGCCACTGGATGTCGGTCAATTCATGATGAAATATTCCAGCCAATCAAACGAAATCCCTACGAAAAAGCCAATACTTGAAAATTAATCTGATGCTCACTAGCCACTGGCCCTATTCAGGCAGTTAGTCTGGGGTGGTTCTAGTTGTAAGTCGTGACCAGTAGAGTAAAGCAGGTTGAAGGTGAGGTAGTAACTCATCGAAGAAGAAACTGTGAAGTGGTCGCGCTATGTCATGAATTGGCAGAAGTTAGAATTCATGAACTGGCCATTCGATCAGGTCCCAGTGGCTTAATGGTCTACGAGCTGGCTCGCGTTGAAACCAGAAGGTCCTGGGTTCAACCCCTGCGGTGTGGGTGCGCACTGCCGAAGAGTCGTAAACCAGGACGAGACAGAGGTAAATTTTTGTTTTTTCTGTTGATTGATTAAACCGAAATGTTCGGCTTCTGTTTACATGTCAGTTCCTAGTGACGACGTTTCGATGATGTCTGAGCATTAATACTGATGTCATTTTGGTAGATGTTGACTAGCAGTAGAATCCAGGATGCGCGTTTTGTCCGATTTAGGACTCATCATCAGGATTTGCCTGAAATTCCCAGTGAGTGATGCAGTTCTCACACAGACTACTAATCACCATACAGTGTTAGTCGTCAGACACCGTCGAAGCGTCCGTACTAGGAGCTTATATGTTACCAGAAGTGGAACACTTTTGTTTAGCACAATCAACGGGGAAAACAAAAACTGGCGTAAACAAAATGATAGCTTGTTCCCGTAGCACAAGGGATAGCTCTCGTGGCTCTAATGGTGTAATCGATAACGATTCGGTGTTTGAAACTTAGGCTCTTGGGTTCAAGTCCAATATAGGAACACCTTCACTCACTACGGAATGCAGATACATCAAACTGACGAGTCCCAAATACGACGAAATGCACGTCCTAGATTCCACTACTGGTCACCCTTCACCACATAACATTAAGATAACACCGATTGGCATTATTCGATAGGAAAGTTTCCTTTTTACTTTAAACCACGTGATTGGAGGATTCCGCATATCAACCTTCAGATAAACAAATGAATACTACAGTCTAAGCAATAATACTACACAACTGGGAAAAAATACCAGTGCAGCTGTGTATGTAAGTTACATATTTAACTGCTTACACTACTTTTAGACCTGTAGAATAAATACCCTATAGCAAATATGTGGCTATATACACCAAATGTCAAAGAACTCTTAGCTTTCTTTTATTCGGATTATCAACCCAATTATAAACAGAAAATAAACCAATCATATTAGAATAACTCGCATACACCTAGTCAAGCTTTAGGTAGTAAGTTATACAGCTGAATAATTGAATAATAACAATGATTAGGCCATAAAGTAGAAAAAGAAAAACAGCCCAGTAAGAAAAAAAAAAAAAGAGGTTTCTTTTTCTTACCAGATTTAAGCATAAAAAGGCGAATATACGACGTGAAGCTTTTCCAGTTAAAATGCCATGAAATGTTTCCCGTAAATGATACCATAGGCCAACTTCTTCTGGATTTGCTAATAAAGCAGAACCATGTGTAGGCGTTTGACCAGCTGTGAATAAAGGCAAGCCAGCCATTGAATAACCAATGAAATGGCCGCTTGAATTACCATCTGGTCCATAACCAGATTTAGTTGTTGTCAATAGATCTGAAGCTGAATTTCAAAAGTATATAAATAAATAAATAGGTAGATAAACAAAAGGCTGGATTAGTCAGAAGTACACTCAGCATGCATATATCATTATAAAACCAAACAAATATATGTGAGATTAGAAGATTTCGAGTGTTCGTCTCCAGTGATTTGATTGGTTTCCAAATGAATCACGAAGTGACTTCAGTTAGAGAACAACTAAAAACTATAGAGTACTTGGCAGCTGTTTCGTCCTAGTTTCAGACTCTTCGACAGTGTGCACCTATGGCTGCACCAGGAATCGAATTCAACGCCTTTAACTTACAGGGTGAGCTCGTTGGCCATTGAGCCAGTGGAACGGAATCCAACAGATTCGATCCCTGATGAGGAGTCTAAAACAAGAAAGAAATAACTGTCCAGTACTCTGTGGTCTTCCATGGTTCTCTAACTAAAGTCGATTCGTGATGAATCTTAAAAAAATTCTACCAACGTAGTCTCCTTCACTGGTGCATTAAAAACAAGATTACACAATAAAGATAAACTTAATAGCGAATATCATATTTTTATCAATATTATCGAAGTGGTCGAAATCGAAGCAAATCAAATACCTACAAATTAACCCTTGTGAAAAATACTTTGACGCTGGCCAGTGAATGACTCAGGGACGAAGTTGCTTGGTGTTCTACTGAGAATTCGTGACCAGTGGGTGCACTTGATTGGGAGTAAGGCCAAAATACTCGCTGACGGCATTGGTTGATGGCTGTGCTAAAATCACGAATTGGTGGTAGTTAAAACTCACAAACTGGTCGGTTATTGAATTGGGTAACTGGCTGAATGGTATACGAGCTTATCTCGTAACCAATTCCTGTGGGTGCGTACTGAGGATGGATTCACACACTGGGATGAATCAGCTGTCGAGTATTCCGTGTTTTTCCAGTGGTTCTCTAACTAATGTCAGTTCATGGTTAAACTTGAAACATAGCAAAACCCTCAAAGCTAACTCTTGAAAATTATCCAACTAATTTAATTAAACAACACTTATAAAGAAATGTAGTTTTGTGTAAATAGAAATGCTAAACGTTGTTATGAAAGACCTGATACCTAATTGATGGTGGATGACTTATTCAAGAAATCTTCAGTTTTTAATCTCTTTCGGGGTAGTATCAGGACAATTTACTAACAACCAACTTTTCTTGTACCCTAAACAGTTGATACTTATATATCCCTATTAAGTCATCACAAAGAAATTGACGATTATATCCTACTCATCAAATGTGTACTGCCAACAACACAAAGTACACTTAGAAGTCAATTTAGGAATTGAAGAAATAGTGAAAAATATATTCGATGGGAAACTGTCTTTACCTTCGACTTGTTGTACTGTACCCTACTGGTCATGGCTTACAACTAGAACCACCCCAGGTTAACTGCCTGAATAGGGTCAGTCTCCAGTAGGCATCAGATTAATTTTCAAGTATTGGTTTCTTTTCTAAGGATTTTGTTTTGATTGGTTGGAAGATTTCATCATGAGCTGACTGACATCAGTTAAGAGAACCATTGGAAAACCTGTAGGGAATACTGGACAGCTGTTTCGTCCTAGTTTGGGACCAACCAATTAAACAAAATCTCTACAAACCAATACTGAAAAACTGATCTGATGGACACTAGTGACTAGCCCTATTCCAGCAGTTACCTGGAGTTCTAGTGAAATATATATATATATATATATATATATTAGTTGTGAGATGATAAATATAATTTTGCTCCAGTTGGACAGGACAAACAAAGTTGTATTCATTCAGTGAAAGTTTAGAAGAAGTGACAATAATTGCTGTTTGGCAAATGATCGTAGATAATAATAATAATAACAATGACAGTATTTATAAAATGTACAGAATTTTCAGGAGTTTATTGCATGATATTTTCCCTGCGTACAATGTTTCCAAGTAAAGTATTAATAGACAGTATATCCTGAGCCCTACACTGGTCTCTGAGCTGAAGCATAAACCATTCCATTTTGATGATATATCTGCTTTGTCTCCTTCAAGAAATCCACGATAACGATCTAGTTGAAAGCCAATTGTAAGATGCTCAGAAGTACATTTTGAGACCCAAAGACTTAAATGAAGGACAGTTATCTCATGTATTGAAATACGTTGCCACCCACAATTAAGTCATTCCTCAAGTTTAGTAGGAACTTGAGAATCAGAAGCTTGTAAACATTTTAAATATACACACAAGAGTAGATAATACCATTAGAGATTATACCTTAATCGATTAGAACAAACCGAACGAGAGAAAATCTATACAATAGAGAGATGGAAGTTTTTGACAGCCCAAGTTTCAACCAGGCCACAGACAAGAATCTCTGAATTCAGAACATATGTGATTTTCAACCTAGGTTTAGTCATGAACCTATATTTAGTAAACAAGTTATAGGGATTTTATTAATAATTTTGATTTTCTTTGTTAAGTCATTCATATTTTCTATTTTCGTTTGCTTAAGGCGTTGTGGATCCACCTGTTTTATGGAAGCACATTCTTAATACAAAATGCAGCTCCTTTTCGTATTCACGGGAATTAATTTCGTGGTTTTAATTCACATATGAATGTTACTCAACAACCACTTGCAATCCCTTGCGATTGGCATTGAATCACACCTGTTGTTTCAGGGTTAATAACACTAGATGGATATAGGGTCAGGCTGGAAAAAAGCTAGCGGCGGTCAAACAAAACTTGGCACCAGTCAATGAAATCCACAACAATTGGTATAAGCCACGTAGGAAGGTGTAGACTTCCAGGCTGGGGTCCTCGGGACGGTAAAAATCTATGGTTGGAAACAATTGGTGACATGGCTCAAAATCGTTCTCAGTGATTGGCGCAGATGTATCCACTCCTTGTGACTTATGATCTCCAATGAAACTGTTTTGTTCTTCGTTATTACTCCTTTGTCTCACACCTCTGCTCACTGTTTCTATTATGCTTTTCTTGTACTTTCTTCTCTTGCTTCGCGTGCTACATGGAGTGTGGCGACTTGAACTTCCGCACATTTGTGTAAAGTTCTATGTCGAAAACAGACAGACATGAACCAACAGCAATCATTTAGCGAATCACTGAAAACCAAGGAGCATTGAACAGCTGATTCATTCTAGTTAAGAACTCTTCAGCAGTATGCACCCATAACCCCACTAGAGATTGAACCCGGAATCTCCAGGTTACCAGGTCAAGCTCACTGACTATTCAGCCACTTGGGGGGGCGGCGGGGGATTCCACAAAAAGCCATAACGTAAATATTGAACTCCAGCTAATAAGCAGATGCTAGATAGATGTTATAGAGCTGTGACAAGAAGCCAAGGCCGATGGGGCCCATCATTTCGAGGTGAAGTGAGTATTAATGTCAGGCATTGGTTAGCATTAGCGACATATTACGAATTGACAAACTTAGAATTCACAAGTCACTGAACTCCAGCCCAAGTGACTGAATGGTCAGCGACGTTGCTCCTCGATACCTAGTAGGGTAGTGAGTGGGAACTTCTGAAGAGAACCAAACCAGGACAAAATAGCTGTTCTGTTCTACATGGTTTTCAATGATTTCTAAACTGATGTTGGTTCTTCACGGAATCTACATTTAAATTGGCCGACATCTCTTATTTTTGTGATTTGCTTTTTTCTACAAAAAGTACCTAACAAACAAGCAATAAACACCAAAAATGGTTTCTTACCATACAAAATACAAATAACTGCAACAATTACACCAGCAGACATTTGATGTTGAAGTAGAAAACTATGTACACGAATGCCATTTGTCACAATTTGTCCTGCGACAGTGGATGGTACCCAGATAAAGCTGAAATTTTTAGCCAAAACATTTGAAAAGCGAATCAATTAGGTTATTATATTTTATTCTATTGAATAATTATGAGTAGTTGTAGTGTGCTTTTTCTTCATCTGGATAATAGAGTTCCATACAGTCACCAAGGTTGTTTTCCAGAAAAAATATGATAAAATCAGATTTTTGAATAAAGCGATGAGAACAAATTGAGCAGGATAAAGTGACGTGTGTGTGTGTGTTAAAAATAAGAAAATGCAGTCTTCCAACCAGTAGAAGTGCTTGTTATATCACTTGTGTTTGTATGGAGTAAAATATTGATTCACTTCCGTAAATATATATTCGATAACGAATCCAAGTATGTTTTACTCACTTCACCCTCATTAGGTGAGTGTTAGAGAACTGTTTACATGTGTATACCGCGTATTTACTTGGTCTCAATATCATCACCATTATCATCAACGAAGGATGGTCCGTAAAACTGTTCTGCAAACAAAAGCAGGATATTGGACAGCTGTTTCGTCCTAGTTTGGGACTCCTCACAGTACGCACCCACACCACGGGGTTCGAGCCCAGGACCTTCTGGTTACAAGGCGAGTTAGCTCGTAGACCATTAAGCCACAGTGGGTCCCAGTGGCTTAATGGTCTACGAGCTAACTCGCCTTGTAACCAGAAGGTCCTGGGCTCGAACCCCGATGGATGCATGCTGACGAAGAGTCCCAAACTAGGATGAAACAGCCGCCCATTACTTCCAGGTTTTCCAATGGTTCTCTAACCAATGTCAGCTCATGATGAAACCCTGTAACCAATCAACCAAATACCGACAAACCAATAATTGAAAAGCAGAATAGTACTTTCTACACATACTATATTCACCCTAGGAAAGAACATCGAAAATACTTTTGACATCCCGTGGTATTATATCAGACAAACAGTGTATTAATGGTGAGTGTCCGATCTCGCGTAAGTTAGTTGTTGCCTGAAAGTAACTCCTGGGAGCTAGACTAAACCTTCACTATTTCTTTTACTTGTATTTTAAGTAAGATAACGGGCTAACTCCAGTCAAAAAAGAAGCCAGAGAGTACTGGGAAGATGTTTTGACATATAACGCCAGCAACAGCCGAAGCCACCGATGAGTACCTGTTCATACAGCCAACTGGTTGAACTCAACTCATCACTTATATTAAGACTTCAGGTTACTACATCCTGTAACCAATCCCTACTGAGCATTAGATTAATTTTCGGTATGTCAGTTCACAGAGAGTCGATTTTCAATAATTCTCTAACCGACATTAACTCACAATCTAACTTGAAAGTAATCGAATTCCTGTAAACTAGCACTTCAAAAGTACTAGAATTTTCCTATATCATTAAATTTAATCTAATAGAAAATAAAATTTCAAAATGAACATCCTCAAAACTTCACTCAGCTCTTAGTGGTTGACAGAAATGTGAAATAAAACTTTTTAAATATCACCACGATCATTACTTAGGTGTGAAATGTATAATTTTCTAGTATTGGTTTTGTAGGGATTTTGTTTGATTGATCTGATGCTCACTAGCGACTGGCCCTATTCAGGCAGTTAATCTGGGGTTCTAGTGGGAAGCCGTGACTAGTAAGGTACAGCAGTTGAAGGTGAGTCAGTAACTCATCGAAGAAGACACTGCGAAATGGTCGCGCTATGTTGTAAATTGGCAGAAGCTGGAATTCAAGGACCATTGGATCGGATCCCAGCGGCTCAATGATCTACAAGCTGGTTCCCCTTGTAACCAGAAGGTCCTGGTTTCGAACCCCGCGGTGTAGGTGCGTACCATGAAGAGTCCCAAACTAGGACGAAACAGCTGTCCATTACTCCCTGGCTTTCCAATGGTTTTCTAACTAATTCAACTCATGATGAAATCCTCCATGCAATTAAAATGTATAATTCACGCATTCTCATATTCACATCTATTTCTCAGTTACTCATTTGTTTTCTTGAATTACTTACATCTCTATTCCCCTTGACCACCACTACTTTTGTTATTACAGGGTGAAACGAGTTCACTGATGTGTCAGGTTCTGTGTTACTTCATCATATATATTACGTAATGGAAGTGAGCATAAATATCATTAGATATTCAAATGAAAACCCAGTAAAGCTCTGTGTCATCTTGCAGCAGACTGTGTATGTTTTCGTATTATGAACCGCCATTGCTATTAAGTGAGGATATCACTGGGTGACGTCATGCTCCAGGCCATCGCTTCAGTGGTATTTGAATGACAAACGACGAGTTGGGCATCCAAGGTTAATATGTAGGAGATCACGTGAAGAAGGAATGAGAGCCTATGGGTAACCATGGGGTTAAAGAAGACCACTGAGAACATGACAAAGTGGAGATGTACTGTTGAAGCCCTGTGTTCCACTCAGAATCCAAGGGAATAATAAAAAATAATAAATTGTGCAGAAGTACACAAAGTATGGTACTATCAGCCTTTATACACGAGGACATTCTATTAGACTAGGGGTCAACCTTAGAATTACCAAAAATTTCGAGTTATCTAAGTATTTAGTCACAGGTTCGATTAGAGATCGTTCAAAGGTCCAAACTTACAAATTATTATGCAGGCTAAAACGATTTAAAGTTAGAGGATACGGAAACAATGGTTAGCTTTGATGTCATTAGCTTGTACAGTGAAAATATCAACACACCCAACTCTAGAATTCATTGTAATTATTTTTTTTAATGGCTGTTTACACACCATGACAAGCTACTTTTCGATTTCAGTAACATTTCGAGAGAAATTATTGCCTGTGTTCAGTTCGAATTTACGGAGTTAGCTCTGCAAGCTGTTAGCAATAAACTCAATTTTCACTAAGAGCGTAAATTCGAAACCAGGGTATCAACAAAGTGGATCTTGTTAGGAGCGCGAATAAGCCTGGTTTCTACAGTATTTAAATTTCGAGGAAAAGCATACAAACTAAACAAGAGGGTTGTTATGCGATCATGAATATCCTCAATCGTAATAAAAACAGATGGGAAAATATAGAGCTTGATATGTTCAGTCACACTTTAAAGTGTTATGGGGGTGTGCAGACGACGAAAACAGAGGATATACATAGATTTTGCAAACATATCAAATCAGTTATTTAATTGAATTTTAGATTTTCCCGTCGATTGTTTGGACCGAAGTGCTGTGTCTCAGGTTGACATGTCAGCTTCTTGTGCAGATGCCTCGATGATGTCTGGGCATGTAATTAGAATTTAATTGGTGGATGGTGACTAGCAGTGGAATCCAGGATGCGCATTTCGTTCTATCTGGGACTCATCAACTGGATATACCTGCATCCACCAGTGAGTGATGATGTTCCCACCGAGGCTCGAACCCAGTACCCATATTTTCAACACTCTCGTGGGCCAAGTGGTCTGGTGGATAACGCTTTGGCGTTTGTAACTATGGGCACTAGGTTCGAGTCTCGGTGGGAACATCATCACTTACTGGTGGATGCAGGTACATCTAGATGACGAGTCCAAGATAGGACGAAATGCGCATCCTGGATTCCATTGCTAGTCACCATCCACCAATTAAATTCTAATATCAAATTAGTGTTAGACACAGTCTAATTAGATGGGTTAGGAAGTCACCGATATTAGATCAGAAAAAGGAGACAAACGGAGAGTCGAACATTAATATTTACAGAAAACCCTTGAATTTAAACTAGTATTAATGAAAATAACAGTGAAATGTCTAGGTGACGGCAAATTCTTATATTTAATTTGGTAACCATGAAAGATATCCAGGACTGACACATGTGATGGAAGGAGATTGTCGCTCCTTCTGGAACACGTGTGTAGGTACCGATCACGCACTGGTCCGCGCTCGGGTGTGCTTACGACTGAACGGACGTAGGAAACAACTGGCGGTAAAACCATCACGTCCCCAGCTCGATCAGGAAACTAAATCCCTATTTGAGGAAGAACTAGCTAAACACATATCTGTTTTCGACAGCTGTGCTCACCCTGAAGAAGCTTGGAAGAATATCCAGGCAGCCATAGATACAGCTGTAAAAGCTGTGAATAAGTTAAACCCAAAGGTGAGTAAAAACCACTGGATTTCGACCGCCTCATCCGAACTGATAGATGCTAGAAGACTTATTCCGGCGAGCTCCGAATTCAATGAGGAGCGAAAGCTGCACAAAAGGAAACTTACGAAAAGTCTCCGCAAGGACCGTGAACAGTGGTGGGTGACAAAAGCAAAAGAGATGGAGAAAACTTCGAGGATAGGCAACACCAGGCAACTCTTTGGACTCATCAGGGAAACGGGTGGGAGAAGACAAATCATTAGTGAAACAATCTCGGAGAAAAATGGCACTATAATTAGCTCCCAGGATAGACGACTGGATCGCTGGAAAGAGCATTATGAGGAGCAGTTTAATTGGCCCACAGCCACGCTCAACCTTCCGAACATCCAACACCTCCCTGAATGGGATATAGACACAGGTCCTCCATCCCTAACTGAGGTTACTAAAGCTGTCACCAATCTGAAACTAGGCAAAGCAGCGGGACCTGATGGAATGACTCCAGAGGTATTTAAGTACGGTGGAGACAGTTTACTGTCTGCATTAACTGAGGTACTAGGCAGCGTCTGGGAATCAGAAGAAGTCCCATCGGGTTGGTGTAAGTCACTGATTATTCCCATATACAAGAAGGGAGACAAGTCTTCCTGTGATAATCACAGAGGGATTAGCTTGACTAATATAGTATCTAAAGTCTTAGGCTCAATAATCATGCGTAGACTAAGTGGTGCTCGGGAGGCACAAACACGAGAGAGCCAGGCAGGCTTTAGACCAGGAAGAGGGTGTATTGATCATATCTTCACCCTCCGACAGATTCTAGAACATAGGAATTCCTACCGGCGTCCAACAGTCATTATATTTCTTGACCTAAAGGCAGCATTCGACTCTGTCGATCGAGAAGTTTTAGTTCCCTGGAGATGCTTGGCTGTAAAGGGAATTCCGAGAAAATATATTGCACTGATTAAGGCACTCTACTCGTACTCATACAGCCAGGTGAGGGCTTACGGCGAGCTGTCATCTGAACTGGTGACGACTAGTGGTGTCCGTCAAGGATGCCCATTATCCCCTTTTCTATTCAACTTCATCATAGATGTGTTAATGGACTTAACCCTAAGTGACTTCAGCGACTCAGGGATTGACTTGCTACCGGGAGATAATCTCGTTGACTTGGAATATGCAGACGATATAGTCCTTCTAGGCGAAGACGCTGACGAAATGCAGAGTCTTCTAAACACCTTGAGCCGCAATCTACGAATGTTTGGCATGCGATTCGCTCCCGCCAAATGCAAGATGATGTTACAGGACTGGACTACATCGACGCCTAGTTTAAAAATAGGAAGTGAAGTGGTAGAGCACGTTGACCGCTTCACTTATTTGGGAAGTACCATCAGCCAGTGCCAACGGGTTGATCTCTGACGAAATCTCAGCACGAATACAGGGGGCTCGTTTCGCATTTGCCAGTTTACGCCGACTCTGGCGTAGACGAGATGTTCGACTATCGACCAAAGGGCGGGTGTACTGCTCATCAGTCCGCTCCGTCCTCCTTTATGGTTGTGAGACCTGGCCACTGAGAGTGGAAGACATGAAAAGACTAGCTGTCTTTGATCATAGGTGCCTGCGCTCTATTTCCCGTGTAAAGTGGCATAATAAGGTGAGCAACATTGAGGTTAGGCGTCGAGTTCTAGGTAAACAGGGGAAATCAATCGACGAAGTCGTGAAGCTACAAAGACTGAGATGGTTAGGACATGTGTTACGTATGCCTAGTCATCGCCTTCCTCGACGAGCAATGTTAGCGGATATAGGGTCAGGCTGGAAAAGAGCTAGCGGCGGTCAAACAAAAACTTGGCACCAGTCAATGAAATCCACAACAGTTGGTCTAAGCCACGTAGGAAGGTGTAGACTTCCAGGCTGGGGTCCTCGGGACGGTAAAAATCTATGGTTGGAAACAATTGGTGACATGGCTCAAAATCGTTCTCAGTGGCGCAGATGCATCCACTCCCTGTGACTTATGATCTTCAATGAAACTGTTTTGTTTTTCTTTATTCCTTTGTCTCACACCTCTGCTCACTGTCTCTATTATGCTTTTCTTGTACTTTCTTCTCTTGCTTCGCGTGCTACACGGAGTGTGGCGACTTGAACTTCCGCACATTTGTGCAAAGTTCTATGTCGAAAACAGACAGACAGACAGACAGACAGACAGATGAAAGCTAGAAAAAATACTGTGCAATAAACACAGTTATTTCATGTCCAACTAACCTGAATATTAGTCCAGTTATCACGACAACTAATTTAGCCACACGGGTTACTGAATGTGCACCGAGCCTGCCACTAACTAAACTAGTCATATAGAAGTCGATCACATGAATGACACTTGTACAAACCATCCAAAATATCCAATTTCCTTGAGCAGAAACTTTAGAACTATCATCAGAAGTCATTTGACTGTCAACATTGTTCATCATCTTCAACAAATCTGATGGCTCCTAGATAAAAAATAGGAGAAATAAAAGGTCACTGAAATATCTTTTAATGCCGTCATATAATAACAACAGTATTCGGTTTAACACACAGACAATCACTGTTAGACAGAATTTATTAAACGAACAGATAGCAAAACATAATCTCTAGAATATACAAAATGACATCAAAGAGGTGAGGTTATAGTCCTACACTCAGCGGAATTCTTAAAGAGTAAGATAACCGTGGTTTATAATGTTTCATTTAGTCAATAGCTTAAAAAAACACCTTGAATTTTATTAACCTTCCCATCTTGTGTCAATTCTAACAGATAAGGTGGCTGAAAAACTATTGGAGATTCAATGCACTGTGCTTACATCGACTACTAGATTTCGAAACACTGCCAGTGAAGGTCAACATCTGAGGACAACAAGAATCGTTATACAGCTAGGAAATTGGCAACAGTGAAATAAGCCTGACGTAAAAACATATGAAACCAGATAATTTATATATATATATATATATATATATATATAATATATATAACAGTGATGTGAAGGTAAAAACTGTTTAAATACATTTCACTCTAAAAATCAATGACAGGGTCAAATACGATATTTTAATATCACGGACACCAAAAAGAATATTTTTCCCAATACGGAAGACCAGAACACCGATAAAATATCAAACCAAGATTTCCTAAGAAAGCTTTCTCTGATTAGAAAGTTGCGCACAAAGCAGTTACGTAACCACAGTAACCGACGCCCAAAATATCCTCGGGTTAATGTAAGGAATTTCTTTGAAACTAGGACTGTTTTAAATAATGAAAATGGCACATAATCTGTTGGTGAGCAGGATACATGTTTCAGTTTTCCTTTAAGGGACACTAATATCTTAAAGACAATAAACAGAACTTCGATGTATGTTAGATTAAATGTGAGAGTATGATACACAAAGAATCTATCTTTTACCACACTTCAACAATTGGTGGGAACCTTTAAACTCAGATTTAGGCATTGTACATAGCTGAATATGGATAAAATGTAGCACATATATTAAATTACCTTTGTGTAAATGGAAGTTTCATAGTAAAAATGAGTAAACATATATATTGGAATCAGGATGATGAAGCTGATTAACGCAGAGAGACTGTGTAGACGTTTAGCACCTCCAACAGATGCCACCAATGTTCTAGAAAGTGCAGCTAAACCCGAGTCCAAACAAACCGCACCAATTAATACAAGCACTCCGACCTATAAAAAGATAAAAACAGTATTTGAGATTAATTAGTCAAGAACAACTGAATTCATTTCAACTATTCGATAACTATTCCCTAAGAACTAAATTATCTATGCTGCCAGATACCTAGCACTAATCAAAAAAGCAGGTATGAAAAACTTACAACATAAGATGTGCCTTTTCCTTGAATTAAATGGTGAAAATGGGAACATGTTCTCATCCTTAATCCATACAGATTGCTTCAACGCAATTGACTAATCGATTAATTAGAGCATAGTAGATAAAGAAGACTTGACAACTTAACAGAGTCGTCCAGAAAGGTAATTCCATAGTTACTAAACCCCTAACATTAAGGCGAACTCATTTACATGGTTTCCAAAAAATTAAGGACTCCCTATACGAGCGTCTAATTCCCGTACCATATAGAATAAGTATAGTAATATGGTCAATTTAAGTAACCACATCAACTTTGCCCATCACAGCTCTACACACTGCCTAAAAGCTGGTGACACCGTGTGACTGTGCAAACCTTTGTTAGTGGAACGTGGTTAGAACCAGTAGTCCTCTTGTTGAATAACTAAGCCAACAAGACACTATTTCATTGTCATTAATTAGAATTCATGAAAATTCCGGTTAAAAGGAAACTGAGAAAGCTTTTTATAAATAACAGATATATAAACGGTAATGGTATATTAGATGTATATTTGGTATAACACATAGTGACACAGGTCTTATTAACTGGAAGACGTTTAAAGCGAAATTTGCTACTCACTATCATATCAAAGAAATACCATATATCCTAACTAAACCATAAGTATTATTTTGTACAAACAAACAAGGTAACCAGTGTCCATGTTTTGTATCTGAGTAGAAAAACGTCTGAAGAACACCTCTGCTCAAAACTTTTGACCAGACTCCCTCATCTGCCTGTATATTTGGAACTATTTCCAAGTGACGAATACGTCATAAATGTAGGGGCATAAACTAACTTAAATAAAGCAGTTAACACTTAGTTATGCGTAGCGATTAACAAAGTGAATTACCGGTCGTAAAAAATAGTCTTCTCGTCTACCTTTAGAATTGTTTTAAATCGTATCATCAGTGTCACAAAAGACTACTTCTAAACAATATATACTACACACCACAAAAGTTATTAATACGATGGCTGAAATCAAAAAGCAAATCCACTATACACACAATCCAGCATGGAAAATATACTCACTTTGTGATCGGAAAATCCAAAGTTTATGAACATCTCGTATACATGATGAATGAGGAAACTTTTGTGAGCTCCTTCAGCTACAGACAGTTCAGAAAAGCAGCTAAGGAAATATAATTTGAAACGAAATACACGCAATTTTCAAACGTACAAACTCAATGATTTCTATGACTCAAATGACATTCTGGATGTAAAATACTAAAATCATAGAATAAAGTGTTTCTAGTCTGAAATATTAATGTAATATAATTTTATTTGTAAAATAAACTCAGAAAAATGTTTGATCTCTTTAGGTGAGTAGAGAAATACATAGTGCATATTTTAATGTGGTTGTAGCATTAACAATTTTTGACATCATCTCCTGAAATCCTATAAAAAAGAGCCGATGCAGAGGACATAATTTCTGATCAAAAGAATTCCCACAACAAAAGCCAGAATAACTAAGACAACGATAAGCGAGAATAATCACCAGCCAGCGGTATTTGTCAGCTTCACTTTAGTGAGTTGATGCGTACATTGTTACAAGTCGCAACATAGTAAGAGAGCCACTATAGCTTTAAACGCAAACCAAAAATATTAAAGTGAGTTACAATCATACTGAAATCTTTTAAGTCAATCATGAATCAACTTATAACTTTGGAACATGATTTGACAAGACTTTACTTGCACGAAAAGGATACGATGCTCTGAGTCTCCATGCGTGTAATCATGGTCGAAGAAGGCGACACATAAAACACCTATGACGAAAAATACTGCCCCTCGCGTCTAAGGATTTGAATGTCAAAGTACAGTCACCAACCTTTTTTGTACATTGAGAACCAAAGAAAAACGTACTGGCTGCAGCAAGAACAAGTAATTCACTGTGCTCAAACAGTAAAATAAATCTAAAATTAGAAATAATAAACTTTGTCTTGTCACCTAAAAGGACCACATAAGATAAGACCCTCAATCCAAAGTGCATCGATAAGAACACGCACGAACGAATATTTAATTATATGAACCCACTGAAATTAAACATGTTTGAATATATAATAAACAAACTTCAGTAAATTTCACTCGAGAGCCAGAAAATGGCCTCTGTACTGGGAGTAATATAAGCGATGCGCTGAATACAGTTGTGAAATATACATCAAAAACTTACACAAGTTTTAATACTATTAAAAAATTTAGTGGATTCGAATTCCTTAATATATCGTAAGCTGCGAAAAAAGATGACACTTTCAAAATTTTGATGAAGATTAAAGCCACATGTAAAAGTTCCATTCTAATACAGATTATCACAGGCATTTGTGAGAACATACCTCCTTCCTCGATATGCTAAACGAGTAGAATGAAAATCCATTTTCCACAACGTCGCGTCCTTTCGAACAAACGCGTCAATTAACCTTGAAGTATTATTCGATTCTGAATCATTATTAGGGTTCTGAACTTTTTATTTCTAAACGATTCTGTGGTATTCGTCAGATGTGTCTGCTGAAAATAATTTATTTCCTATTTTCCCTGATCGAATTGTGGTGGTCTTTTCGTGCTTCTAACAAAACCAATTACCACATATGAGGTGTACAGTTGTGCAATCCTGAAGATTAACGGCCTTTCTGATTGAACTGTCTCGACTAATTTTCTGCAATATCGAATTAGAGGATATTTCAGGATTAAGCACATTTTCACTAATATGAGTAGCTATGGGACACTGCAAGTTTGACGAATGACATCCTAGATAATTGTCCCACATGAGAATAAACTGTCCTTCTATCACCATATGCAATCTCTGTATTTCATTTGGTTGACATATCATTGGAGGTGCCCCAACATAGCCTATGAAATGACAAAGGTATGCAACCATGTAAAAACTCCTTAGGCCCACGTGACAGCACTGTCTTCGCACCCACCGTTTAAATTTGTCTCAATACAGTGGTCTATAGGATTGATCGTAGTTCAAAATTCATGAACCCAAAGACCTGAAATAAAGCTGGTATCATATGACCTACAACCGAGGTGTGAAATGCTTTAGAGAACCTTATTCAGGGAAGACAACATGACCACGGCAGACTACCATGGCTGTACCATGTCGAAGACCATTTTAACCGGTGACTGAGGCTTGTAGACTTCACTCCATCACCTCAAGTTTTTCCTATTTATGTTACATTCATTAGTTCCACCACCATTCTACCCTTACCTGTGAGCAGTATTTATCTTCTTAGCAAGACAGGATGTTATAGTGGTGATGTGGTGCATTGTGTTCTAATGGACAATTATTCTCGCATATTCCTACACTTCGCTACTGCATCAGCAACAGAACGCTATTTATATTTGAACATTCTATTTCATGTCGTTTAATGCAAACCAAAATCACTTGCTCAGTGGTTGGTTAACGAATATAAACTGTAGATACATGAACAGTGGTTTGATTAATGAAACATATAACTTGATTTTCATGTCTTGCCTTCAGCTGTAACCATGTTTAAAAACACCTTCACACGTACCAGTTCGCCATTATGCATTATCTAGTTCGATAGAAAATATGCATAGAGATGTAAGTCGAATGGAAAGATTTTACGTTACGAGGCGGGCAGCAAGCTGGCATTAGTTTCAACTGTCTAAAACCGAAACATGTGGAGGGCGCACCATAGGTATTGTACCCATATCCTCTGAGGTGTGAGCAACACTACACAGGGGACAGTAACCTAAGACGTAACACGAAGAAAAACGAATTCTAAGAGAGCTGTGTGGTTCACAGAATATCTTTTAAGGTGTAGTATAGGAAAAAAGCTAAGCAAGCACCATTTTTAATTAACTAAGACTCCTTTAATGGACATATCATTCGATCTCAATTCTTCACCATAAAGTACTGAATAAGTTAAATTTTTACGGTATACAAGCCATATGTTCACTGAGACTCCGGAAATAACGTTCTCTTTATACTCCCTACTTGTCCAGGCGGTGTATGGACGTATTGTTAGTGGCTGAATTTCACAGAAGCTCTCAGCTTCATTCTTTACACTTCCAAAGGCAAAAGGAACCAGGTAAACAGGTGACCGTACATGAAAACATACAAAAGGTTAACCAGGCTAATTGCACAGATCTCGGATCGCTTTCATTTGGCCTCAACTAGAAATAACGCTCACGGTGTTTGTTTGACTGTCAATCCTGTTAGACTTCAGCTCTCACAACACTACCTGCTGACTTTTCAGCCTTGCTCACCTAATCTGGCGGTCAGGCTGTTCTTAACAACTCCCCAGTTAGTGGGGGGAGAATATAACACGTGCAGTTGCTAAAACAAGCACTTTTTAATAATGATTTGGAGTGATTTTACCATTAGATAATCACACTACAACGAAACCCCCGAGTTCCTGTCCGTTGAAAATCCTATCATCCAACATGTCTTTGAGCACTCCGAGAGGAGCGATTTTATCCTTGAATATATGTCGGCTCATTTGTAGTTGACACTAAAAAATTCTTTGATCCGCTACATATGTTTTGTTCTCTCCAAAGTGACACGGATTCATGTATTTTTTGGCTTGTACAGGTTCGTGATTACTCTCGAGTTTGTGCAGATGCTTTGTCTCCATCTTTTGGTAGTTCGGCAACTTAGCCTTTTACCCAATCAATCTGTTCTGCGTTAGTATTTCCGTTGTAGTCTCTGGTCCCTTTTCCAGCGCTCCAGGAGGAATTCCGTCTGGTCCTGCTGCCTGTAAATTGAATGCACTCAAGACTGCTTCTTTTGGAGGACGGGTATTCACTGGCAGTTTCTTGGCAGTTCGTTTCTCTGAGGGCCTCTTGAAACATGATGAGTTCTCTCCATGTATTGTCCGCTCACAGTTCGGCCTGCATTCATATCGCCCATGAGGATTTTGATGTCATTATTAGGAATGTTGTCCATTACCGTCTGTTGCTGTCTATAGAAATATCCCTTCTCTTATTTCGCGTTGTCTGTAGAACTATGTGTAACATTGGATAATTGCAACCTATCTTCTTTTTGAGTTGAATCTTTATGTTATGATCCTGGATGAAATTGGTTCCCACTGTTATAGGACTTTGGCTGCCACCGGTCACATCACTGCCTCAATGTGCTCATGTTTGTCGTCTGGGTGACCAATGTAGATTACTGACTCTCCAGTTGAAAATTTTGATAGTCCACATCCATTCCGTCTGCCCTCGCAGATTTCCAGAGCTTCTAGGCCATATCTTCGTATTTTTGTTACCCAGGTAGCCTTCCCAGTCTTTATTGTACTCACATTCCACGTCTCCGTTCTTATTTCCTTTTGCGTCGAGAGAAGACACATCGATTGACTGGCTTTCCGAGGGCCTTCACGAGCCTGTTGCTTAATTAACCTCTCCATTCCGGCAAAGAACAAATTTTCAAATATTTTTCTTGTGCTTAGAATTTTCTACAGCTACTGGGCTGATTTTTCGGGCTAGGTTCGATAGCCCCGCGCCGCAACCCTTGCCCTCTCCCTTAGCTTATTGGTGGCTAGAATACCAGCGGGCTAGTAAACTAGGGTAGGTTACTTCTGCACTTTGGGCCTGCCAACTCTTAAATTACATGTTCGATAAATGTTTTCATTGTCTGAGATACACAGACGAATATTTATAGAACTGTGACATGTCTATATTCTAATAGCTATGGCGTCAGCAGATGTTAGGATAGTGAACATTCTGTCGACTTTCTGTAGCAACAAATAACTGGGCATTATAATTTCCACAAATGAGCAGCTTACCAAAATATATCATACATATGACAGATAGCTCTACAATTTTGAGTTCACAGAAATAAAGGATAATGGCGGAAGTGAAGCATAACTTCATTCGTATTATGTTTGTGATTCGCAAGTGAAATTAATGTCAATGGAGTTGAAGATTGAACGATCAATTCTTGGTTGTTTGCTCAAAATCAACTTCCCCAATTGTCGCGGAGGCATCAATACGACAGTCATCGTCTCATCGGTCGCTGTTCAGAAAGAAGAGTGAAACATCGTCAGAAGTAATACAAAGATTTATTATTGTAATATTTGTTTACAGAACTTAGTTCGCTTATTCTTTTATATGTTGGTGTAACAATAAACAAATATCAAGCGGCAGATCAGTGTTTCGGTTTTTGCGTCCGTTATTACTAAGCGTTTCTGAAAACTGCAAGAACAGCGTGGGCCCCAGCGTAGCAAGAGCTGGGCATTAACGGTTTATGAGACGTGACTGACAGTTTCTGATGGTAGAAACAGATTTGGCGGATTCAGACAGTTGGTGAAAGTTTGGATAGTCACCGTTCATCTTTCCTGGTGCCGGTCAAGTCCTCTTTGAACAAGCAATATCTGGAACTTTTTGGAATTGGGTCAAGTTCAACAATGCCTGGGTCGAAGAAGGGACAGAGTGTCTTGGATGCAAACAGGAAAGTAAGTCATTGTGACTTGTCTGTTAATTGTAACGATGTGTCTGATGTTAAGCATGATATGGTTGATGTTACTGTTTCGCCGTTCAGGGATAATAGGAACATCAAACTCCCTAAATTTGAACCACGGTGTTTTGATGGAAACCCGGCTGATTATTTACAATTTGTAAAGGAGTTTGAGATCATGTTGAGTGGTTTTTTATTAAATGAATAATTGAAGTTAATGTATTTGATGAGATATTGCACTGGAGATGCTTCAAGAGCTATACAGTGTTGTAAGTTTATGAAGCCAAAAGAGGGCTACTACGAGGCTATGAGCACATTACGTCAAAGGTTTCGAAGACCTTCGATGATTGCAGGGAAATTATTCGAGGCTGTTAAGGGTAATGGTGGTCAATTACAGGATGACTTCCAGGCACTCACTGAGTTTTTAGATAATTTGCTAATTTACAAGAATGCAATGATTTCGATGAATCGCATGAGTGACCTCAACTCGAGTTTTATACTAGAAGTAATAGCAAGACGCCTACCTACTCGACTGCAAAAGAAGTGGGTGAAGATAAGCTCCCGTATGGAGGATGAGGGTATCGAGCCAAAGTTTGATGATATCCTGAAACTGGTAAATACTAGTGTCAATCAATCTATGAGCAAGTTCGCCAGTCTATTACATCTCACCCCTACAATAGAGCAGTCTGAGAGCAAAATGCAATCATTGATGACGAGTAGGCCTCAAAGAGGTGGATATCGAGAAGGCTCCATGATGTCTAGTAATGCATATAGACCTAGTGAGTGTAACAGGTTTTGTAGTACATCCTCATCATATAAGTTACAAGATGCAAGACAAACACGGTTGTGGTTTACACGTGTGCAAGAGGCGCATACAGAAGTGAACTGTGAACCAGTGAGCAAGTTTAGTGATAAGCTAAATGTAAACTCCAGGCCTGACTCCGAATTGTGTGACGATAACGGTGCTGTGAAGAAGTCTGTAGTTGCAA